GATTCGCGGTTGAATTCGCACTTCTCGGGTTTGGCGTACAACCCATGCTGGCGGCGGCGGGACAAGACCTCGCGGACGTGCTTGGGGTGACCTTCGGGGTTCTTGGAGAATATCAGGATATCATCAAGGTAGACGACAACAAACACATCGAGAATGTCGCGGAAGATGTGGTTCATCAGGTACTGGAAAACGCCAGGAGCATTGCTGAGTCCAAAGGGCATGACATTGTATTCGAATAGGCCGTAGCGGCAGCGGAAGGCGGTCTTCCATTCATCGCCCAGGCGCATGCGTAAGAGGTTGTAAGCGCTGCGGAGGTTGATCTTGGTGAGACGGCGGGCACCGCGCAAACGGTCCATGATACCGTTGATCAGGGGCAGGGGGTAGCGATTCTTCACCGTGATGCTGTTCAGGCCTCAATAATCGACGCAGAGGCGGAGAGAACCGTCCTTTTTCTTCACGAATAAGACTGGCGCACCGGCAGGGGACTTTGAGGGTTTGATGAATCCTTTGGCGAGGTTTTCTTCGAGGTATTTGCAGAGTGCTCTCATTTCTGGTTCGCTGACGCTGTAGATCTGGCCGAAAGGTGGCTGCTTGTCTTCTTCCAGGTCGATAGGACCGTCGTAGGGCCGGTGCTCGGGGAGAGTGTCAGCACTTTTCTTTTCGAAAACGTCGGCGAAATCTTGATATTTGGGGGGCAGGAAGTCTTTGATGTCTTTCTCGGGTGTTGGGAGGGTACTGGGGCTAGGCGAGGCCGGGAGCTCGGGTTTTGCAGGGTTGGCGTAGGTGACAAAGACCTGGTCATGCCTTGCTGCGACCCGGAAGGCTGAGGCGGAGATGAACGAGACTCGGAGCGGTGTGGGAGCCAGTTCTGGGGTGCTGGAGCGAGATACCTTGGGTACTGGGATCGACCATGTTTCGTCAACGCGGACTTCATCCTGGGGGATGCGGATCAAGGGCTCGGGAGTTCTGTCGGGTGCTGGGCTCGGGGGTGCCGGGGAGCAGTCCCAATTTGCGAATTCGTGGTACTGACAGTCGCAACGGAAACCGACCAAAAGGTTCTTGAAGTCAAGGTTAACGTCGTGGAGGCGCACCCAGGAGAGACCAAGGAGGATTGGAGCGTGGGGTAATTTGGTGACATGGAAGACGAGTTCTTCAAAGTGGTCGTCGACCAACATGCCTACTGGTTGGGTGTGATGGGTGATTGGCCCAGCAGAGCTGGGTCGACCGTCAACGAGTTCGATCGTCAGAGGAAGCTGATGCTGGACTAAGGGGATGCGGTGCTTGCGGGCAAAGTCCTCGTCGATGAAGCAGGACAGGGCCTCATTGTTGATCATGGCTGACATAGGTATTGGGGCACGGCTGGATGATACCATGATGGTAACGGGGTAGTTGAAGGGTTCGGCAGGACCCAGCGCAAGCATGGCGTGTGGGTTAATTTCGGAGTTTTCGACATGGGCGACGGCTAGGAGGGTTGTGTCGGCTATAACGGAGTCGGGAACCAGGGGGGTGGCCTCTTCTGTTGCAGGAGCTGAGAGGTTAGGAGGCCTGGAGGAGTGTGTGTTGTCCAGTCGCTGGGGCTTTACTGCGGCTGGACCTTGGGAAAACCCTGTTCCGTGGAGGTTTCTTTGATGTCGACGTTGGCGGCACGGGTGGTGGTCTTGTTCTTGGCTGGGCAGGCCTTTGCAATGTGCCCCGCGCCACCGCAGTAGAGGCAGAGGCTGTTGAAAATGCGGCGTTGGCGTTCCTGGGGGCTCAGAGGGCCGCGGGGACGAGCGGCGTCAATCTGCATGGGCTTGCTGTGGTCGACGGTGGTGGTAGTGGTAAACAAGGTATGGGGAACTGGGAAGGTCTGGCGGGTTCTGTTTCGTTCCGGGCGGCGCTCAAACAGTCGGTTATCGCACTGGATCGCCTGCTCCATCACCGCATCAATGGTGGCAGCAGGAGGCATCGTGAGCATCAGGTCCTTGACGTCCTCTTTGAGGCCACGGCGGAAGGTCGCAATCAGGGCCTGGTCATTCCAGGAGACATCGCATTGTAGCTGGCGGAACTCAGCGACGTACTCGGTGGCTGCACGGGTTTGGCGAAGGTTCTGGAGCTTGTTTTCGGAGGTGCGGACCCTGTCGCTGTCTCCGAAGACAGATTGCATCCGACCGATAAAACTATCGAAGTTCTGAAGGCTGTGATCTTGGCGTTCGACTAGGGGCGCCGTCCAGGCTTGCGCAGTGCCGGTGAGGTAGGTGCCAATCGTTTGGATCTTGATGATGTCGCTGGGGTAGCGGTTGGGCCGGAGAGCGAACATCAACCGGATGTTGTTCAACCACCCACGGAATTTGCTGCGGGTACCATCAAACTTCTCAGGCGAGCTGATTCTTGGCTCCAGAGCAGGGTTGGCGACTTGGGGACGGGTGTACGTATCGGCTTGAACCTGGGCGGCGATGCTCTGGGCAGCTTGTGCGTCGGCTTGGGCTTGCGCTAGGTTGGCCTGCAAGTTGGCGTTTTGGCTTTGCAAGGCGGCGATGGCTTGGCACATATCTTTCCATTGCTTGGCGGTGAAAGGTACGGATTCGGGTTGGGACATGGCGAAAAGATTTGTCGGATGCAGGGCTGGACGGGTTCTGAACTTTGCAGTGTTGGAGCAGATCAAACTGTTATGATCTCGAGGACTGAGGCAGAAGCGAAGTAGAGAAGACAAGGCGAGAGCGATGGGCGACAAGGGATTGTATTGGCGAAAGAAGAGACAAGGACTAGAACAAGAGCTGAGAAGAACTGGTGTTGATCTGCTGGGGAGGAAGGGAATGGACAAAGAGAGGCCGGCTATTTATAGATAGGCAACCCAGCAGATCAGAGAACAACAACAACAACAAGAGGGGACTGGGGGGGGCGCCCGCTATGCTCCTAGAGCGTGCGTGGCGAGCGTAGAGAGCATTGCTACAGCTGCTGGCTATGGGGAAGTAGTGGGGGGTGTGGAGAAGCCGAGGGGGATTGGCGAAATGAGAGGAGAGAGGGGGAGTGGCATTGACATTGACATTGACACTGACATTGACACTGACATTGACATTGACATGGCGTTTGACATTGGCGGTTGACATTGGCGGCTGTCAGTAGGTAAGCTTATGGTATGGGCGCGTCGTCCATAACAGAGGTGCTGCAGATGTCACCTTAGTGCGGGGAAGCGCGTAGGGCATGAGATCACGTGTAGCATAGATTATATTGGAGTCCTACGCTCTGGGGTGACTCCCGAAGGGAAGAAAAGCCTTCAGGCGGCCCCCCGGGGGGTAGAAACCCTAGAATTCTTTCAATACATCAAACCGGAGACAGAGCTAGCCTCTGGCAACGGACCTAGCAATATTACAGTGTTCGTCGGCGCTGCTATGTGATATGTAGTAGAAGAACTACTCGATGTGCATAGGAACACGCAACGAGCACTGTTAAAGTACCCATGAGGTCGGAGTCCACTGGAGAACACTGTCTGGGACATGTCTGGCACACCCGGCGGGACATGTCTTGCTCACGCGTCGTTCTCCAATAAGACCGGACAACCCACATTACAGGTGTGGTCCTTCCCTCTTCACGATGAAGGGTCCGAGCCAGCTCTGTCTAAATTTGAGCAGCTTCTTGTTGAAAGCAGGGATCGTTATCCCATCGCTGTTCAACAGGACTTCATTTCCTGGACTAAAGCTCTGTAAACGACGTCCACAATCATGATACTTTGCTTGTTTGTCCTGGCCTTCCCGCAGTCTCTGCTGCACTATGAGTTCAATGGATCGGTATGCCTCAGCACGCTTCTCCATCTGTACAATGAGCTCACGTTGTGACTTATGCAAGAATGGGATTGACGTATCGTCCATACGTTGCAACACCTTTGCGTCAACTTGCCAATGCATCGGCGCCTGCGGAATTCTACCCAAATCAACCTCGAAAGGGCAGTATCCGGTGCTGTTCTGCGTACGGTTGTAGGCAAACTCCAACATCAGCAGTTTGTCAACCCAATCGTCTCCCGTTACATTATGGTAGGGTTTAATCATCTTCTTCAAGATAGAGATACACCGTTCGACTTTTCCATCCGTCTGTTGGTGTCGTGCCGTGCTCAAGCTCTGCTTAGTGCCCAGCAACGATTGAAACACCTTCCAGAAATCTGCCAGGTAGCGGGGATCTCGATCTCCGATGATCACAGCTGCAGTACCTGTATGGCGCCATACCTCACGGAAGTAGAGCTGTGCCAACTCCTTGGCAGTTATCGTGTATGTTGCAGGTATAAAGTACGCGCGCGATGACAGATAGTTGATGAAGACAATAATGCTGGCATAGAACGCATCACTATGCACCTTCCCCCCATGACCATGTTATTGGCATCGAGACAGGATCCATACCCATCGTGTGCCAACATCGGTCGGGAATTGGGAGCAAACGAAGTAAGCCAACACGCTTGTTCTTTGGCGACTTGAAACTTTGGCAAGACCCGCTGTAACGTCAGAGTAAACTTGACTGACAATGGGCTCTTCCAAGAGGGCTGAAGAACGATATTCTCAGGTGAAGAAAAGAGTAAGAAGTCCTCTGCAGCGGCTGCACGGCTGACAGCTTTACGTATGAGCTGCGTATTGGGCTTGCGTGGCTTCGAGGAGCCTTGGACCCTTATGTAATGTATTACCGAGAGCTCGGATGGCCAGCCCGCGTATCGGATCAAGTAGAAGTAAAAGAAATATAATACGAAGTACAAGTGAATATGAGATATCCCCGACAGGTGAAGAAGATGGTCGGCTGTTCATGAGGTCTATAAACAACCTGCTAGCTTATGGGACCTCATGTGTTGACTGCTCTATGGTTTGATGCACCGTGGGTGAAAAAACCATCGGCTTTAGTCCTGCACAGCTATAGTTCCGGGCAAGGCAGAAACTTCCTTTGCTTATGATACCGCCGGCAGGAACGACAGGAACTGACAGCATCTGATGGATGGGTGACTGTTCCACCACAAAACGGAGTTCACTTCTTTATGGCAGCAGGCCAGCAGCCCTTTACCGTCTAAGCGTCCTCAAAAGGACACTGGTATCAGGGCGCTCCCTCTACTCATTACCGATCAATCCGTAACGCAGGAGAGCACGTACAAACATATGACCGCCTCTCACTCGCAACGTAAAACGGCTCAAATGCCCCAAAGCCACGTCCTACGCGGCCGCATCAAAGGTCTCATTTTCGGCGCGGCGCTAGGTGACGCCGTGGGGCTCGCGGGCGAGTTCCTGACCAAGACGAATGCAAATACCTGTACGGTCCGGGACCGATCCAGTTCGGCCTCTCCCGCGACGGCGAGCCTTTCCTGCGTGACCACCACCGAAGCAAGTTTGCGGAGAACAGCTGGACGGACGATACGGATCAGATGATTGTTGTTTTGCAAAGCTTCCTCGGCACAACGACAAAGGATGCGCAACGGCCGCAGTTCGACACGCTCGATTTCGCACGGAGGCTTCGCAAGTGGACGCAGGAGGGGCTGCCCGAGCTCGGCAACCCGGCACATGGGATCGGGAAGACCATGACCCTCGTCATCGGGCAGGAGGACTTTTGCACTGATCCGCAAGGTGCGGCGTGGCGAGCATGGCATCGGGATACGGGCCGGGCGGCGGCAGCGAACGGGGCGGTGATGCGGTGTGCGGTTCTGGGATGTGTGGGGTTTCAGGATGAGGGTTCGGTTGCCAGGATGGCTATAGATTGCGCACTGTGTACGCATGCTGATCCACGATGCGTCCTGAGCTGCGTGGTGGTTTGTGTCCTTGTGGCGAGGATGCTGAGGGAGGAGGTGGGTGGGTCTCCGTCTGCGACGGTCACCCCGCTTGGTGAGGCTGTAAAGAGGGACTTATGGCTCATGGTGCATGGGAGGGATCAGCTGAAGACGGTCAATGTAGCGGCGCCAACGGTGGTTGCCGAATCGCCTTCCTCTCAGACGAATTCACCACCAGCGAGACGCCCGCGATTTCTCATCGACAAGAAAGCAAAAGAGCGTCTGTTCATGTTTGTCATGGGCGGATCAGACGACGACACCCTCGCCAAACCCCCCAACTATCTCGCTCGTTACGACCGACCTCCAGCAGCTTCATCCTCGCCCTCGTCCCCGACGACCATAGACGTCGGGACCCTTCCACGCGACGCGGCTGTGTCCGCTCTCATCCAGGACGTGTGCAAGGAATACGAGTTCCTCCTTCACGGTCCCACACCAATTCCGGAAGCTCAAATACGACAACAACCGGAACTCCGCCCCACCGCGCCGGCCCTGTCGCCTTGCAAGCCTACTTCCACACCTCGTCGACCGCAACAGAGGAGTTCAGAGCCTACACTAGCCAAGACACGGCACTCAGCGCGCTCAAACTGGACGATAGCAAGCATATGGGGTACACGTACAAGGCTCTCGGGGCCGGGTTGTACGTGTTTGGGAGGGATTTGACGCGGGTAACGCCCGCTCCTTCCCCACCTTCTCAATCAGTCGAGACTCCTTCATCAGTGTCCCACGTTGAGGCTCAGCAAGCTTTCCAACACCTCATTACGGGGTTGACGCTGGAAGGAGGAGACGCCGACACGAACGCAACGGTTGCGGGCGCCCTGTTGGGGTGTCGTGTGGGCTTTGAGGGGTTGCCGGGCGAGTGGGTGCAGGGGCTGAAGGATGCGGATATGCTGGAAAAGTTGGTTGATGACTTTTTGGAGAAGGTTGTTGGAGTGTAGGAGGATCCGAGGATGTTATTCCCTCCGCTCACATGTGACTTTGAAACATTTTGGCGATGCCTATTATGTATGTAGAGAGTACTCGAGGATCGATTCAATGTTCTCCAATTCACGCGAAAGACAACGCTTTCTGATTGACATTCTCTGGTCGTTCTCAACATGAGCCACTATATTGACTCTACCATACAGTCTACATAGTGAATTGCGAGTCTTACCGCATCCATCTCAATACAGGCCGCCGGTACAAGGACGATCAAAGCGGTCCTCCTCCTTCTCCGCCAAACAGTCCAGATAGAGGATCCACTGCTTCTCCCGCCATTCCCTAAGATCCAACCCTTCCTGTCCTGCGTCTAATGAGGTAGCATTCACGCTGAGGTACGACGTACTTCCGGCACATCCTTCTATCCAGCCATCCTTCCGCGGTCGCCACACTTTCGTCTTGCCGTCGGGCGCAGAGTGGACTTCTCCATTCTTGTGATGCGGTTGAGGGGAGACCCGTGCGATCGCGGCGGCTAGGTCGGTTCCGGGTTCCACATCCACCACCTCTCCTTTTCCCCGGAGAATGAAGCATCGTACACCGCAGGTACGGCAGAAGAGGAAGTTCAGCTTCCCGGAGAAACACGTATAGTTGCCCAGCTTCTCCATGGGATCCAATGGACTCAGAAGGACGAAATCATCAGGCGCACTCGCAAGCCGGATGTGAAAGAAGCCGGCTTTGTGGCATGAGCTACAATTGCACTTGTAGATGCGAATCTGCGAGGGTAGATGGAATACATAAACCCTGGTTTAGCACCTCGTGGACACCAAGTACGAAGTGGCCAGCTTCCTAGCATCGCCCCAGTCTCCAGCTCATGTGAGCCCGATTCCAGACCGCTTCGTTAAGCTTAACGAAGCGCCGTGCACCTGGGATATACGTACGGTATGGTCTTCCGGTGTGGTGTCGACTGACAGGACGCGCGGAGGAAGTTCTAGGAAGACGATGTAGCGAATTTCACCGCAGTGGCATGAGCCGTGGAAAGGGCGTTTCCCTTGAGCGGCTGCTGAGTTGGACGGCTTCTGTGCACCAGAGAGCTGGGATCCTTCTGAAGCCGACATTGTTATTTCTTGCGTTGAGTTGTTGTAGGGGAAGGAAGGGAAGGCGAGATGGGATCGATTGTCCTGAATATGGCAGTGCCGCTTTGCACGAACGCTAGCCGGTGGGGCTGCCAACGAAACCGCTCTGTGCTTTTTATGCGACCTTTTTTGGCCAGTGCCCAGTGACTTGCGTGTGGTTGCACAAGGACCGCCGGACACCATACCCTTGTGGAGAAGGTGGAGCAGCTTCTCAGCTTCTCACCCGTCGCGTCCTTCATCAAACTTCATCCCCCCCCACGGCTCCAAACGTGTGCGCGTACGACAGCACTGTGAGTCGTGACCGACGGCGTGCCAACAGAGAATTTATCACTGTGAATCCCATCGCATGGGCCTGGCATGGTGGTACTTCGGCTTCGTGTCGACAGCCAGCTGCCCACCAGGGGAATTTGTCATCTACGAGGGTCTCTATCGAACGACTGATGATGATGCACGGGACGGCGTCCTTCGGGAACTTGCCTTGCGCGTGAGTATACATGTACAGTATACGTACTGTAGTATGTGGTGTCGGGCGGCCAGGTCCGCGCACACTATTGAACAGCCCAGTCCACACAATCATTACATCTGCCTTCCTTTGATTAGTCGACGCATATGTCTTTCTGATCAGACCTAAATGATTACGTCCCCGGGGAACTGATCAGACGTCGAAGGTAAAAGAAGGCCGGACCCGACGGAGGTCCTGTCGTAGCGTCCTTCCACCATGTTCCGTACGGGTCAGTTGAGTATCCTGCATATGTACATCTTTTTCAGTCGGCCCTGTATAGCAGTCAACAGTAACGTACGCCCATGGGCCCATGTACAGTACAGTACATACAGTACTGTACTGATACAATGTTCGCCCATGGGCCTTCCATGGCCTTCCACCCTTCTGGGGTATCTTGTTGATGCCCTTGCCGACTCCTGTAAATCGAACGCCAGTTGTGCAAGTTGAAGATTGGGAGATCTTTTACGTCCACCCAGTCCCAGAATGCTGGGACCTGGCGCCTGCCCATCCAGCGCAAGCTTCCGAGTGCCGAAACTCCTGATGCGCACGACAAGCCTGGAATCAACGCGGCGTCAACCCGTCTTGTGGGAGGTACCGAGAGCCCGCAAACACCGCGGACCACTAAATTTAAAATGCGGTGTGGACCAGCCTTCGCAGTTCGAACGTCCATGGGAAAAAGTGTCCATGGCTGGAAGACTGTCAAAACATATATCGCTTCAGGATGCTGAAGGATGATGCAACCTTCAAAGAACTGTATGTACACTTGGTGAAGGACGGAGAACGGACGACGGAAGGGCCTGAAGTCCGGACATAGACTCCGCAGCTGCCTGTTCTCCATTCCAACTGGTCCAGGCGCATTTGTCTTTCTGGCCGGGCCCCATATAAGAAGGCAGCCCATTGTGCTTTCCTCCCCTCTCCTTTTTTCAGCCAAACTGCTCGCCGGCCAACTTCGCTGCTTCACCTGCTGCTTCAGCCGAACGTTGTCCAGCGTCTGGTGATATACGCGAAGAGTGGTCTGTAATCGCCAACCGAGTTGTCACCTCCGGAAGGAAAGACCCTAGCTCCGCCATGTCGTCGAGAGGGGAGACTGAACAGCTCAACGAGCAACCAACCTACTCCGTCGTCGACCACTCGCACAAGGATGTCATACACCGTCCGTTCTTCTCCTATATCACGTTTTCGTGGATAACCCCACTTCTGAAGAAAGGAAGTCGCGCACCATTGCAGGAGGAGGTGAGTTTACGGGAGTGCGGGGCCTTCGCTAGGCATAACGACCTGCGGGGGAGAGATCAGATGCCCGATCATGGAAGAGTGCCATGCTCAGGGGGGTTTGCTCGCTGGGTTTCCCCTCTCGTCTCTTTGCCCCCATGGACTCTGTGCACGGGTTACTGGCCTCAGGTGGACGTAGCTTGCAGCCTCTGAACAGGATAGCTTATGCTTGAAATCCCCACCCATTATCGCTCACCTTCTCTTTCCATGCAGGACCTTCCGGATTTGTCAGAAAAGGACTCCGCCCATCAGACTGCAAAGCCAGTCTTGGAAGACTTTTGGGCACAATACAAGACATACAAGAGCACTGAGGGTTCTCACGCTCCGAGCTTCACCTCGGCCCTTGTGCGACACTTCTTGTTCAGATAGTGAGTACAGATGCAACTCGACATCCATCTTCTCCATCATCATGACCTAACATTACCCCACAACCTTTCAGCATCGTATCGCTCGTCCTCGCCGGAATCGCCGTAGCAAGCGCCATCATCCAGCCGCTGCTAATCTCCGATGTCGTCAATCTACTCGATCCTACGGCCGACCACTCGAGTCCCATCATCAAGACTGTATGGGGCTATGGGCTACTTTACTTTGCCTTGTCGGTTGGAACAGCCTTTGCTGCCTACAATAAGGAAGCTATGTATTTGGACTTCAACGTGGAGCTTCGCGCGATCGTCATTGGAGCGGTGTGAGTGGTTTGTTCTCGCGATTGCGTATTCTGAGACTTGGGTTGGGGACTAAACCATTTCTCATCAGTTATTCTAAGGCTCTGAAGCTGTCGGCAAAGTCCCAACAGGTGAGTCATCAAATGAGGCCTTCGTGCCGTCCGCAAGACGCCGCATTCGTCATTTGGCTCACTCCCGTCCTGATACCTAGGAGTACGGTCCCGGAACTGTTAACAGCCTAATCAGTACCGACGTTCTCATGATCAGCAAATTTCCGAAAATGTTAGCCGCATCCATCACCTGCGTGGCACAGATTGTCCTTGCGCTCTATCTACTCGCCCGGTTACTCGGAGTGACGACGATCCTCACAGCAGGCTTGTTTGTCCTACTGACAGTGCTCACCCTCCAATTCATCCGCGAATTTGTCAAATGTCAAGGACAATATATGAAGCATCTGGACAAGCGCACAAAACTCCTCAGAGAACTGATTTACGGAATGAAGAGTCTGAAACTCGAAGCGGCGGAGAAGCACGAGGCCGCACGAATCGAAGAGCCGCGGAATGAGCAGTTGAAACTGCTGAAGACGATGACGATGTGGTTCCTTGGAGTGATATTCGCTATCATCATCCAACAAGACTTCCTTCCGTACGTCACGATCATAGGATACACCCAATTCGGTGGTTCTATCAACGCCAGCACGGTGTTTCCCATCCTTGGGCTAATCGCCGCGCTAGGGGAACCCTCGGGTATGCTGGGAGGTGCCGTCATGTGAGTAGTACCTGACCAAGTTATGTGAGACGGATCGCTTAGATCCATTTTTCTTGGGTTCGCCTTCCACTCACTGTCTGTCACTCTCTCGTAATGAATTGCCTTCAACAGGGGCACACTGCAAGCCTTCCCTTCACTCAAGCGAGTTTCAAAGTTTCTTCTTGCCGAGGAGATCCTCCCTCATGACGTTCCGGAAAGGCTCGCTCTTGATGCCAAAACCGCTGACCTTCCCGCGATTACTATCGACCGCGCCAGCTTCTCCTGGGAAACCACCCCTGATGCCAAGGACCTTAAGGAAACGTCCAAAGGATCAACCAAAGCAAACAAAGCGGGAGGAAAGAAGGGTGCTGACAAGAAGGGCGCCGAGATGCAAGAACGGGAGAAGGAGACCACATCGGTCAACACCGTCGTTGTAGAGGCGGAGCAGGAGGCCAAAGGCGAGACAGCTGGCAGTGACAAGCCGAAGGAAGCCTTCAAATTATCTGACATCACGCTCGAGATCCCACGTGGGGCGCTGGTTGCTATCGTGGGACCTGTAGGCAGCGGGAAATCATCGTTGCTCTCTGCGATGGTTGGGTCCATGCGCAAGGTGGGCTCCGGGTCTGCGACGCTCGTCGGTTCGATCGGTTATTGCGCGCAGGACCCCTGGGTAGTATCGGGCACTTTGGAAGAGAACATTCGAGGGTTCTCCGCCGATTTGAGCCACGCCGACGTCTCCAAAGCGGTCGAAGCCGCTTGTTTGACTCGCGACATAGAGGCCTTTCCACATGGACTCGGAACCCGGGTCGGCGAGAAGGTATGGTTCCCTTCCATCCAAAAATAAATTGTGCGGATTTACAAAGTTGGGCTTATTCTCATCCAAAAATTCCAGGGCATATCTCTGTCAGGCGGGCAGAAAGCGCGAACGCAGCTATGCCGCGCCATTGCGTCGAACGCCGACATATTCTTGCTCGACGACCCACTTGCGGCGCTGGACGCTCAAGTCGGGAAAACCATCTTCGACAAAACGATCCTTGGTTCCATGAAAGGCAAAACAGTCGTGCTCGTGACACATCAGCTGCATTTGATATCAAAGGCTGATATGGTTGTCGTCCTCAACGGTGGTAAGGTGGCTGAGTCGGGTACCTTCACCGAGTTGATGAACTTGCCAGAAGGTGTGCTGGCGAACATGATGAAGAACTACGCGGTCGAGGGAAGGGAAGATGAAGTCGTGCAAGACGAACCGGATAAGGAAAAGGACGGTGGGGACCTGGAAGAGATTGAACAGGCCTTGAAGAAGTTTGAGGAGCAGAAACTGATTGCCGAAGACAGGCAGCAGGTAAGAGCATTTGGCGAGGGGCAATCATCTACGGGTTCGGACGGGCTTTAACACGCTCTTTTTTCCTTCAGGGCATTGTTTCCGGCGCCGTGATTTGGCGCTATTTCAAGAATGGCGGCCTCCTTCTCGCCCTGTTCCCGTTACTATGGCTTCCCTTCGCCGTGTTCTTGGCGGCGTTTGGCAACATTATCATGGTCATCTGGTCCGACAACTCGTGGGGCTGGTCGGATTCTCAGTACTTCCAACTGTACTGGATCGTCGGAACTGTCAAACTGGCTTCTAATCTGATGAGTGTTACGTGCTGGTATGTTTTGAACTACCGCGCCTCGAAGGCATATCATCACAATGCCTTGACGGCGTTAGTGCGCGCTCCGGTAAGTGCTCCATCACCTGCTTTGCTCGTTGCAGGATTTTGGTGTAATGCTAACGCTGAATCGAAAACAGTTGGGATGGTTCGATGGTCAACCGGCGGGAAGGATCATCAATCGCATGACGGTCGACGTCTTGCAAATGGACCTGACCCTCTCACAAGGTATGAGCTTAAGTGTTGATTAGTACATCGATCATGGTCTGACTGGCTTAACACTTGCGTTATCAGATCTTGTGAATTTGTTTGACTGCGGTATTATGTTTTTCTCGGCGGTCGTCATGGTTGCGTATGGAACGCCATACATCCTGATCGCTTTCGCCATCCTGTCGATACCTTCCGTCTGGGCTTTCCGCTTTTTTCAAGGGTCGTACCGCGAACTCAAGCGTCTCTCCTCCATTCTCAAGTCCCCACTCTCCGCGCATTGTTCCGAGACGTTTTACGGTATACCATCGATCAAGGCGTATCGTTGGGAAGCGAGCTTCGTCGCCCGACAGGAACACACCACCGACCTCGCGAGCAAAGCGCTGCTACTGATGGACTCGGCGAAGCTGTGGATCAGTCTGCGGATGGCGCTGTTCACTTCGATCATTGTGCTGACTGGATTGATTCTCGCCGAAGTTGGGGTGGTGGAAGGAAGCGCGGCGGGCCTGATGTTGGTGGGGTTGATCAACCTGGCCTCTCTGTTAAACATTGTGTTGTTGATGATATCCATGACGGAGGCCTCATTCAACGCTGTCGAGCGGATGGACTACTACGCAGGCAAATTACCTATGGAAAGGCAGGTCGGCACGGTGAAAGTCTCCGACGCATGGCCGCAATCTGGAGCCATCGACATCAAGGATCTCGAGATCCGCTACGATTCGACGGCGGCGCCTGTGTTGCAGGACCTGTCTGTCTCCATCCGCGCCGGCGAAAAGGTGGCCGTTTGCGGGAGGAGCGGGGCCGGCAAATCGACGCTTATGCTCGCCCTGTTCCGCATTGTCGAGGCCTACAAAGGCTCCATCCACGTTGACGGTCAAGACATCTCCGAGCTCGATCTAGACACCCTTCGCGAACGTCTGCAGATCATTCCGCAAGAGCCGATCCTCTTCTCAGGCACCTTCCGTTCCAACATCGATCGTAGGGGCAAGCGCACCGATCAGGAGATTTGGAAGGCGTTGGAGATGGCGGGTATGAAGGAGTACATCTCCGGCCTGCCCAGTCAGCTCGACGCGGAAGTCACCGAGGGCGGCGCAAATCTGTCTTCTGGACAAAGACAGTTAATCGTGCTCTCGAAAGCCATCCTATCAAACGCCAAGATCATCATCATGGACGAGGCCACAGCGAGCGTCGACCACGAAGCCGACGAGCGGATTCAGGAAATGGTTTCGTCCCATTTCAAGCATTGCACGGTAGTCAGCATCGCACATCGTCTGAACACAATCGCTGGTTTCGACAAGGTGCTTGTCTTGAAAGACGGTCGTTTCGTCGAGTTTGATACCCCGCACGTCCTGTTGGCCAACCCGGAGTCGTTGTTTGCGGATCTGGTCGAGGCAACGGGGCAGGCCAACGCTGCGTTGATTCGTGACATTGCTGCCCGGCATGAGGCTGAGAAGAATGTCACCGAGGTGTAGACTTCCTCACCGCGGCCCCCACACCAGGTCTATGTACCTGAGCTCGTTTTTGCGCACCTTCCGCGCATAGCAAGAAAGACCCTATTCGAACCACGACTTTGCGTCCATGTGCCTTCGATATCCAGCGTAGCGTCTATGTAATTCGTTCATCTCCTTGGAACTCTTGTCCCCTTGTCTGACGCTGAACTCTCTACCAACATTGGACTTTTGTCGTTTTTTTGTACCATAATCGAAGAGATCGAGTGAACATCCTAGTTCAGCCTCGATCAAGTCTGACGGCGTAGTAATGTGATACACTAAGACAAAAGAACCCTCTGGCTACCTATTTAAGGAGCTCCGTTCTTACAGATTGGTGTCCGTCAGGTTGGAAGCTGTCTGCAAGACTACGCGGCAGCGTCCCAACCCCGCGATATGAAAAGGACCAAAATCGTGGTCTAGCTCTCACCGCCGGGCGACATTCGTCTAGGCTCAAGACCTCCTGTTACCACATCCCTTTTGTACCATCCTCTGTATATTGTATATGAACGAGGAGCCTCGGAGGGATCACAAAAGAAAATATACCAACACTTCCGGAACCCTGTCAAATTCATCCCGCTGTCACTTCCCCAACTGACAGCATTTGTTCCCCACCTATACTCTTTGGAAACATGTTCGGGGCGGCACAGCGTCCCTTCCTGACCGAAGAGAGCAATGATGGGTATGTAGCGACCCCCCAATCAGCGGTGACCGGGTTCATGGATGGGTCTGGGTCAAATGCACCCTAGGGACCTACCGTCGTTCCCACGTGGCTTCGATGCAGCTTCTGCGGTACGGACGACGGACCTTCAGGTGACGGCGCGACAACCAGTGAAAGCCCGTGAAACGAAACGAGGCGATCAATGCCGCGCCTGGCCTGGTTCGTCCTCCTAAGCTTTGCAAGGTAGAGATCGAGGGTGCCAATGCCGCATCACACACGCTCCCATAAAAAAGTAACTCTGGACCAGACGCTCTCACAAACGCATACGATTAGCACGGTTCAAGGGCAAACAAATTACACACATGAAGTAGAAAGAAGCACGAGGTGATATTTGCAGTCCGAGGATAGGGGTAAAAAATCAAAACCTAATAAAGTCATGACGTTCAACGACAACGAAAAACAATTGTCTCCCCTGCTCCCCGGATCAACGTTCCCCCCAGATCCTTCCGCTCGGTGGTTTGATGGTCCGTTGGTCTTCCCAGGGCCTCCCAATGTTCATTGCATCTGCACCCAACTCCGGGTCGATTCTCCGCTACATATATAAAACTTGAAATAACATTGAGCATCTTTTCGTGGAAGGAAAGATGTGGATGTTCAATGAGTCCTGGATTCAATGCGTCAGCCGTGCGCCGATTTAGCACATACCAAATCATTTCGCTTCCTCGGTCTCCTCAACCTTTGTCTCCTCGCCCTTCTCGCCCTCAGCTAAATCGAAAGGAAATCCAAGTCAGCGACATATACCGACTTGGGTGAAAGGTCGACGTCATTGCTTACCATCTTGCAAGTCGGAAGTCCACAATGTCAAGTTGTCCCTCAACAATTGCATGATGAGCGTAGAGTCCTTGTACGACTCTTCGCTCAGAGTGTCCAATTCAGCGATAGCGTCATCGAAGGCTTGCTTGGCGAGGTGGCAAGCACGGTCCGGAGAGTTCAGGATCTCGTAGTAGAAAACGGAGAAGTTGAGCGCAAGACCCAGGCGGATGGGGTGAGTAGGGGCCAACTCGGTCTGTGCGACGTCGGTGGCGGACTTGTAGGCGTCGTGGGCGTGCGACGCGGCCTCCTTCCGCTTCTCCCCTTGGGCGAACTCGGCGAGGTATCGGTGGTAGTCTCCCTTCCTGTATGTCCGAATGACGGATGAATAGGTTAGAATATGCGACGGTCAAAACGGCGATAGACGTGCCCGCTCCAGTTATGGCAAAGCTCGACTTACATCTTGTAGTAGAACACCTTGGACTCGCCAGCCTCGGCGGCGGGGATGAGGTGGTCGTCGAGGACATTCAGGATATCGGTGCAGACGTCACCCAACTCTCCCTCGATTTTAATGCGGTAGTCCTTGATCTTCTTCACTTGTCCCTCGTTGCCCTTGCTCTCCTCCTTTTGCTCAATGGAGGAAACGATCCTCCACGAAGCACGGCGGGCACCAATAACGTTCTTGTAAGCGACGGACAAGAGATTCCTCTCCTCAACGGTAAGTTCGACACCGAGCTGCTCACGCGAAGATGGAGTAGTTTCCATCAGCGATGTCCAAGACCCTCCACGAACTCATACAGCGTAAAGTGCCGTAAATTCCTTACCTTTGCGACCTCCTGCAGTTTCGAAATTCGTTGTGGATAAAGGAAAGTATAAGTTGTTGTTACAAGCCCCCTGCGGTTGACAAATTCCGGATGCTTGCCTTCATGAAAGAGACCATCTCTGCGAAAAAGGAAGATCGAAAGGAAAGTACGTATGAGTGCCAGATCTTGTGGAAATAGCATGAAGGTACCCAAACTATTTGCTCATTGTGAAACCGCCCACACGAGGTAATACCCTCTCACTCCCCGCAGAACCGAGTTTGAGACTACCCCATCTGCTTTCCTCCGAGTGTAAAAGGCCAGAGCAGTACTCACCGTCGTATCGCTCAGCTTGCTCAGCAAGCTTGGCCATGTAGACCTGGTCCTCACGTGCTAAGAAACGGTAGGATGAAGAACGTACAGTTAGCCAGACGAACGAAGAAATCGCGCCTGAAGGCGTACGGTCTTCCCAGAGCTGAAAACCCCAGCCGCATCATCTTGCCTCAAGGGCAGTAGAACTGCGATGCAGCTGGTTTTCCCACGCATCGTGCATAGTCAACGCGTCGTCTCGAGTCCAGGCCTAGGGTAGTATTGCCTCTTACCTCTCTCAGCCATTGTTATGGGGTAGTGTCGGGGGTGTAGTTGGTTATGAATTCGATTTGGTTTGTCCAAGCGTTGTGTAGATGGGACTGCGATGAGCGAACACGAAGAAAGACAAAAGGTGGGTGTGAGAATCGAGATGGAAGAGGGTTTGAAAGTTGGATCGGGCAAATGGAGCGGAGAGACGACACAACACCGATAGGATATAGACCTCTGCTTGAGCTTCCAAGCAAGAATAGCCACCGCAATACATACCTGCGAGATGTGCGCCTTGCGGATCGATGGGGGACTTTGCGAAGCGGGGCGGCCAGTGTTGTTCTCTTCTGTTCTTTTTTGCAGATGCGCTTGCTTGTGCGTGCTGCTGCTGCTGCTGCTCATCCTGGCGTATGTAAACCCAGCCACCTTAATCAAAAGCCGCCTGTTTCAGCTCCCTTTTGATGAGAGACCCTTATCACTTCTGCGCGCATCGAACGCGGCTGACGTCTAATCAAATTTGAGGACGAGCCGGGGTCACTTGAGCGGATGGCGGTTCTAGAAGGCGCAAAAATAATTATACGCGCTGTTGGGACGCGCATGATTGGTCAACTCGCCCATAAAGAGTCGGTCCTCATTGCTGTTGTGGTCTTTCAGCTTGGGATGACGTGGCATAGAGAGAGAAAGCGACACCGTGTTTATCAGCAGTGTTGAAACTCGAGGTGTACATATATACGAGAGCGTGGAATTCGCGGGCCTAATGCCGTCCTTTTTATTGTGAAAGATACGTGAACAAGAGCCGACCACATGCAGCTCCTTCCAGAGAAGGTCCTGCATTTACTTCCTTCGATTGGCGATTACAAGCAAGAAAATCTCCATTCGAACCGGGGATGATGCTATTACATTCCGCTGTTCCGGAGTCGCACCCATTCGAAGAGCATAGTCGAACTGTGAAAAACTGTTGAAGTATGTCAGTAGAGCAACGGCAAAGCTCCCACGTCAAGATGTTCCATTCTGTATTTAGTTCTCCAGCTCACATGATGGAACAAGAATGGTCAACGCATAAAATGACCACGATACAGACAATGAAGACAATTTTTCTCACAACAAGAGGGATAACATGGCCTATCTAGACGGTAAACGATAGGCTTGTGTGAGGCAAAGCGAGTTCAGTCAGGCCGTACTTTTGATCATTTCGTCACCGAAGGTCGTCCCGTAGACGAACCCTCTTCCCTGTCCACAGTTCTCGCTGAAGGAACAACAACGTTTGCTCATCCACCATTTTCCTGCTGATCTTGTAGGCAATCTGTTATCCGAAGGATGCGTTCCCGGATGTAGGCGCTGATTCAGAGCCTTCCTCACCCGGGTGCCATATCCGCGTTGGACCCATTTGCGGGTCAAGAAGGGATATTGGTCTGACTTAACAGAGGTCACTTCCCCTGTTGGCGCAGGAACCGTACGGAATGCACCCATGGTGGCGGCAGGAATGAAGGCAGAGGCCACAGGGACAACTGGCCGAATACGATGTTACTCAATGAGAGTGTGCATATTTCAGCACGTTGGCGGAATGCGTACTCATTCTCGGGTGTTTGGAGTCCCTGCAGCTAATGAGGTCTGCCTATCTTCTGGTTGTGTTGTTCGAGGTGTGATCATTTGGCGGGTTCTTCGTTGCTGTCGCCACACGCAAGACCATGTGGCCGCCAAAAAATAGCCCAGGCACGCGAGTAGGATGGCGCGCGATGCGAACCCTTCTTCGTCGTCTTGTCGAATCGGAACTCAAAGTGAAACCGGCGTTGGTCGCCAGGTTGGCGCCCAGGTGGTGTCCATGGCAGGTGCACAACCAACCAAAAAGCCTAGCCCTCCTACTTGCGGCTACCATTCGCAAAAAAGATGGGAGCGAGTAAGCCCACGTCGCAAAGTCTGCTGCAAAACAGTATATCCAAGGCACATGAAGCTCGATGCAGCCTCAGCATGGAACTGCTCAATCTGCTCAACTTCTCTGGGTCCCAATCCTCTTTGTAATGTTGCAAACTTTGAAACCACAAACAAATGGGGCGTTCTCTACCTCAGCAGGTATCCACTGCGATTTCCCAGTCTGCGTGTGTGGGATGAAAAGGCAAGCGCGCTCTGCTTACGTGAAGGACCTCGTTGTTCACTTTCCCCTACGTTCTCCCAGCGGACTTACAGTTGTCTGTCTCAACGGCGACGTCCAGGCCGGGAACCCATCCACCGAACCGTACTATATTCTTGCCCTATTCCAAAGCTTGTTTCTTGGACAATAATACGAGGAGAAGCTTACATCTCCGTCAACGGCGTAGGAGTCGGAACGCAGGAAAGCCCAGCACAAAATGAAGTACGTGACTGGACGAATCCCTACTCAATTGTGTGAAGTCATCTCGATCGCTAACCGCCGCAATCCCAACAGCGTCATTAAGGAAATCGACCGCCTCAACAACTCCGAACTATTGCGAAACACCAAAGAGACAGCATCATGGCACTCGCAATACCAGGTAAGACTTCCGACCCACTGCCCAACTTCCCCACTCGCCACTTTTCCGCTAACCAACCCCATTCCAACCACCAGGACTCGGCCTACATCTACGTCGGCGGACTACCATACGAGCTGACGGAGGGGGACGTGATCACCATTTTCTCCCAGTTCGGGGAAATTGTGGATGTGAACTTGGTCCGTGATAAGGAGACGGGGAAGAGTAAAGGGTTTGCGTTTGTGGGGTTTGAGGATCAAAGGTCGACGGTTTTGAGTGTTGATAACTTCAATGGGACTAAGGTGGGTGTCGAGCGGGTGATTGGTGTTTTGCCAGGGGTCCTTTCATTCAAGTTTGGGCCGAGTTGCTGATCCCATTATCATTCGCAGATCCGTAACAGAACAATACGCGTAGACCATGTAGCCAAATACCGTGGGGAAAAGAAAGACGATGATTATGATTCCGAAGAGGAACGAAAACGGAAAAACCAGATCCTTCCGCCTCATCTAAGGCCGCGCGAGGCTGGTGCAGAAGAAGGTATGTCTTGTCTGTCCTCGCAGAGCTTCACTAGTTTGTCGCATACTAACACCGACATTCGTGAAGATTCAGAAGACAACGACGAAGCAAATGCCCTGGACGAAGAGGACCCCATGCGAGCATACATGCTGAACAAAGCCGCGAAAAAGAAAGCAAAAGCAGCCAAGAAGGCCGCTAAGAAGGAAAAGAAAGAGAAAAAGGAGAAGAAGCGAGGGACGGCGGCGGTTGGAGATGATGGACACGATGACCGGGCGGGGAGGGGCAGGGATGCGGAGCGGGGGAGGACGTCTGTGGATGGCGATGGAAAGCGCTCGTTCGACAAACATGGCGATCGCGAGACATTACCAAGGGAGGCACGGGACGATACTGGCAGAAGGGAATCACGGAGAAGCAGATCACGCTCACCACCGCCCCGCTCTCACGCTCGGCGCTTACCACCACCATCTCGACGAAGGTCACGCTCCCCACCACCCGGCACTCGCTCAAACCGCTCCCCGTCACGTTCACGATCCCCACCCGCCCGCAGATCCCGCAATCGGTCACGATCATTCTCACCAAGTCCCGACCGGAACGACACACGCAGACGACGCTCGCCCTCGCGTTCCAGGTCTCGGTCGCGGTCACCACCGCCGACCAGGAGATTCAGGGGCCGGTCATGGTCACGGTCGCCCTATGATAGGAGGAGATGACGGGCTAGGGGATGGCAGTAGGGAAGAAAGTCATGTTCCGAGTCACGGCGTGTTCGTAGGGAGGCAGGTACTTTGATAGGGTGGCGTGTTTCCTACGCGCGTATTGTGCTGTATGGAAACCGACCAAGGAAGGCCCCTTCGTAGGTTGTACTGTATATAATGCCCGAAAACGACTCGTAGATCTCATAGTTCGGCCAGCTTGAAAGCGTACAGTTTTCCCGCAATGGAGCCTATCCGCTCACAGCCATGGACCCTGCAGAAGGAGCACATGCACCAGCACAACTGTATTTGAGACCTTTCTTTATTTCAACGATCCAAACAACGTATGCGTGCTCCAGCTCGCATCGCATCGCATCGCAGGTACAGCATCCCTTTCCCGTCCTCCAAGTTCGTCAAGCAACAACAGCAGGCTAGCCCGTCGGGGTTTGATGATGCGAGAAAAAGATCAATAATATATGTAACAAATGCGGAGGGGTCTGTGCTGAGATTTGTTGCTATATTACGGATGCTTTAACCGGACTTCTTACGGAAAGAGCAGCCCTCTGTGAAACGAGAGTGGAGAAAGTAATGAGTACGGTGTAGATTCGAAAATAACCGACGTGAATGCAGGAGAAGGTGCACCACCCAAGACAAAGGCCTTCAAAAGTACGGTACTTACCGGTAAGACGGGCCTTACCACCGGTAGGTTGGCAAAGCACCGTTGCGCAGCTTCCGCAGAGAACGACAGTCTGAGCGTGGCTGAAGACTGTGGTGATGTTGAAGCATCCTGTTGTTGAAGGGAGAAAATGAGGCAAATGTGATAAGTAAATGAACCCCTCTGAGATACCCGACTCGCAAGCGCAAGCCCGATAAGATGCACCCCCGCAAGCAAAAGCGATCCCAGTGTACGTACCAGGGCACTTGACGTCCATGAAGTAAGAGTTGGGGCTCTGTACGAGACGCTTGAGCTTGTGCCTGCGGGCTTCGCTAGCCGCGGAGGGGTTGAGGAGATCGACGGCCAACTGTGGGAAGGGGCGGAAGAGGAAGGCCAGCGTTAGACTCTGGAGAGAAGGACAGACTGGTTGTGCTGCTTGTGCGGAGGAGGAGCGGTTTGGCATTTCAATTCCGAATCCCTTCGCTTGCGACCATTCCGGAGCGGAATCCTGTCGAGAATGGACTGGGATTCGCCAAAGTCCAAAATCCCACTGAACCATCTGGAAAAGTCGAGTCCAAAGAGACCTGGTCCACCCTAGCCTTCTTTGCCAGCCCCCGTGGGACTCCCAGGAGGGTAACCAAATGCGCCAAAATTTCTATTTCGCGATTCCGAATTACCGCCCTTCTCGCCCGTTCGATTCAGCCTGCACGTCCGCCACAGCTCTCTGTCCCTGTTCGGTCGGGCATAGCCTCCCCCTCCACCTAGCGGTTGCAACTTTGTCCTGTGGAGTGTGTGAGTGTCTCTATGGGGGTGTATGCTACTTACAGTCATCCTTGCAATGTGAGTTCAGCGACGAAAAAGGGAAAGAGCGAAAAGGGATGCGTTCCTCTGCTTGCCCATATCCTCCATCTCTCTCTCTCTCCCATGACAGTCACATGACGTGTCACGTGCAGCGTAATTCAACCCCCGCGACTCGCCCCATTCCCACCAAGTCGCTGCAAGCTGTGCGATCCTTCCTTTCGCTCCCCCCTTCTGCCAACGCTCTCAATTGTCACAAAAGTCGACAGACAGCAACATCAGCCATGGTACGTATCCATCACCGGACGCAGGCACGGACACAACGAACGAACGAACAGCACGACACGAGAGATGGAGCGGAATGGATGGATGGATGGATGGATGGACGGATGGACGGATGGATGGATTAGTGAGGAAGAGAACAGGAAATGGCTGCGACCACGAGGGAAGGAAGCGAGTGGACAAGGCGTTGACTAATGACGATGGGGCTACTCACACGACATCCGTGGGTTGGTGCGCATGCGGTCGAACGGACGGTCGAGGCAGTTGTGCATTCGGCATCTTTATGCAACGAAATGGTGTTCAGCGTGGGAATCTATGTCCCCAGCGGTGCTCTAGACATCTTTGACGATGGCAGACAACGCCACTACCTTGAATTGGGCGGAACAAAAATTCAATTTGTGCTTCGGACGGACCCCTTGCTCATTCCGTCATTCCCGTTCTTATTCAACAGCCACCCAAAGCCGCCAAGCCTGCTGCTGAGAACATTAAGCTCGGACCTCAGGTCCGCGAAGGCGAGAACGTCTTCGGCGTTGCTCACATCTTCGCCAGCTTCAACGACACTTTCGTTCACATCACCGATTTGACCGGCCGTGAAACGATCTCCCGTGTCACTGGTATGTACCTATTTCGTTTTGCAGTTATTTCGCTACCCGATGTACTCGCTCTTTGGCCGGGGGTTCGTGCATACTGGCTTTGTGATAAGAAATGGCGTGAAACCCCATAGCTGTCACAACTGTATGTTGCTACGTCCTTTCCCACCCTTCCCATACGCTTCTATTTCCTCACGCTGAAGCATGATGGAATCAAGGGTAACACCAGAAGCCATTCTCCGGAAACGGTTCGAAGGCATGGGAAGGTGTATTGGACGTGATGAAACTCGTGCTTGAAACCCACGCAGTTCGTTTACGTGTGGCGAAACTGGGTGCTTGAAACCCACACAGTTCGTTCACGCTCCTCCCCCGACCAGAGGGCGGATCAGTGGTGAAACACGCAATCCGTACCTGGGCCCAAAAAATGACCGAAACCTTTCTCTCTGTTTGGCAATCTCTATCCTCTCATAGGTGGTATGAAGGTGAAGGCCGACCGTGACGAGTCCTCTCCCTACGCCGCCATGTTGGCCGCTCAGGACGTTGCCGTCAAGTGCAAGGAAGTCGGCATCACCGCTGTCCACATCAAGCTCCGTGCCACTGGTGGTAACGGTACCAAGACCCCCGGTCCTGGTGCCCAGAGCGCTCTCCGTGCTCTTGCCCGCTCTGGCTTGAAGATTGGTCGCATTGGTATGTACCACTGTTCCTCAACTCGCAGACTTTCGAGCAACACGGACCAGGCGCTGATCGTTTCTATTTCTTCATGTCTACAGAGGATGTCACCCCCATCCCCACTGACAGCACCCGCAGGAAGGGAGGTCGTCGTGGTCGTCGTTTGTAGATTGTTTCCCTTTACACTCTACAAAAAGATGTCCCCTTGCGCCTTTTCATCCGACTTCTCCCTGGAAGCCTTACTTTCAATCCTCCTTCGTCGTCTTGCTGCCGATTATACATACGTATGTCGCGCGTGAAACGATGAAAGGCTGTTGTTAGTACCCTCTCAGATTCCCGCACCAGCTTTCCAATCCACTCTTTCCGATATCCCTTGTACCACAATTTATCTAATGCATGTCAATTGATCGCATTGGATGTCTTGGATTTGTTGCTGTCTTGTGACTTGCTTAGACTTGCTTATGCATTGGTCGAGCTTTCTTCCCGTGGTGCGATTGTCCATGCTCCACGGGCATATCTATCGTTTCGCCGCTCTGTTCCTCAGATTCCTCAGATGCTGGTTTGTAGGGCAACATACTGTACAGCAGATCGTCGCCCGTCATCGCACTCGCACCGCAGGCGCGGCCGTGGCCGATGGCGAGAAACCCAGAGTCTCCCTGCACCCACAAGCAGAAAGCTAGGACATGGATGGCTATGTGCTCTCCATTGCCCCAGCCTCCTGCAGCCGTTCCTTCTCCGGAACACCGTCCTTTCGCCGCCGCACCGACGGACACACACAAACGTCCGCCGAACCGCCTTATTCCATAACAGCGGGCTTTCCCAAACACGGACTCTCGGCGAAAGGAAGGGCTGAAGGAAGAACGCGAGGCATGACTGACGTAAACAACCGACGCGCGCGCATAAGGGACGTGCACGTTTATTTGCAACGGCGATCGTCCTGTGTTCTTTTTTTGGTTGTTCTGGCGAAGCGTTCGTCATGACGCTTTGTATGTAAGATTATGGAACAATGGTTTGCTGAACAAGAACGGAAAAAATGAGGGATGGGTGGGATGGGTGGGATGCGGCGCACGCATATATAACGGCCACAGGTGCTGCCAGTTCCATTCCTGTTCCAAAGTGGTTCTTCGCCCTGTAAATCAGATCCCCCATTAAGCCAGAGGAACAAGATGTTGCGCACTCTGTTCCAATACTTGGCGGTTTCATCGGTGTTGGCGGCAGTGTTCGCGAACCCTATAGATGTGCTGCACTCCGTCACACACAGACAGGATGGCAACATATTGAAGGATGAGGGCAAGTCTGGGCCAAAGCTCAGGACCGAGTAAGGACAAACGCGGGCTATGCAGTTAACACGAGATCGCAGGAAATTGTTAACAGAGCCATCGCCGACCCACCTGTAGATTCCTCTTCAAGTCCCAAATGCCCACAGGCGTAACCGTCTCCAAATCCAATCGTATCTTCGTCAACTACCCCTACTGGTCCGACGACATCAAATTCACCGTTGCGGAGCTGGACCTCAAATCCCAGAAGGAGGTGCCGTTCCCGCCTAAGGGCATTGATCATTCCTTGGTTGGGCCGGGAGCGTGGAATACGACGCGGCAGAATGAGACGTTGGTTAGCGTGCAGAGTGTGGTAGTGGATCCGTTAGATCGGTTGTGGTGAGTTTTGAGAAAGATCTGGGGTTCCACGCGGTTTGACGAGGGATGACATCTGATGCATTTGGGTGCAGGATCTTGGATACGGGCCGGCCCACCATCAACAAGACTATGCAGCCGGCTTCCTATGGTGGACCGAAGCTGATTGCGGTCGCTTTGAACAATAACACTATCGTCAAAACCATTTTTTTCCCCGAGGTAAGATCCACCGGTCCATTATCTTCTCCGAAGGGCGGCAGAGATTCATAATCGACAATGCCGTCCGTTTTCCTAGACCGTCGCACTTCCGCAGAGTTACTTGAACGATATCCGCTTCGATCTGAGGATCTTGACGCAAGGCGTCGCTTACATTACAGACTCGTCCGACAAGGGTGCCAACGGGATCGTGGTGGTGGTAAGTACGGGGGAAGTAACGCTCTTCTCGTTGAATCCCTCGACTTAACGGATGACTTCGCTTCATCAGGACCTGGAGACCGGCGCATCCTGGCGCCGCCTCGACCGCCACCCCTCCACCCTCCCGACCCCCTCCTTCGTCCCATCCGTCTCCGGCCTCCCCATCTTCCTCCAACCGAACGCCTCGGCGCCACAAGGCTACATGACCGACGGCTCCGACGGGATCGCGCTTTCCTCCGACGGCCTGCGCCTCTTCTACACCCCGCTCGCATCCCGCCGCATTTTCTCCGTCTCCACCCGCCTGCTCGCTGACCCCATCGCGGGGGACAACGATACCGCGTCCACCGTTATCGACCATGGCGAGAAGGGCGGGACGTCAGACGGGCTCGAGGCGGACGACCAGGGGAACATCTACATCACCAACCAGGACCAGAACGCGATCCTCCGCGGGCGACTGGTCCAGAGCCCTCTTCCCAAACCCCTCCCGAACGCCAAAAACAATACCAACGCAACAACACCGGCAGTCCCGCCCCCGCCCGTCCTCGTCCTCACCCCCTTCATCCGCGACCCCCGCATCCAATGGGCCGACACCCTCAGCGTCTCAGCCAACGGGCGCATCTACTTTACCTCCAACCAGCTGCATCTGCAGGGCAAGTTCTGGAAGGGCGAGGATAGGCGGCAGCGACCGTTTGTGCTGTTTAGCGCGCCGTTGGAGAAGGGTGTGCGAAGGGTGGAGTTGACCTGTGAGACGAGCGGGTTGGTGCCGTGTGATGGGAGTGAGGCGGGTGGGGAGTTGCAGTGTAGGTGTTGAGGCGGAGTCGGAAGTTGCATGCATTTATTTATCGTCGTTGCCGAATCTGTACAAATGAAATCGCACTCTTTCCACACTTAAAGTCGGAAATGTTACGCAATGTTTGGTGTAGGAGCTCTCCCCAATTGAAAGAGGCCATCCTTTCGCCTCAGAGCTGCCAAAATGATATATCTGCAGCGAACAAAAGCGAAGTAGCGAAAAGCGGAACATACAACGAGGTATTGGTGTGTACAGATTTGATCACGAAAAGCAGAGGAGTCCATATACAGGTAGGTATATCAGAAGAGATCCGCATCAGGATTCAGGCCAGGGCATCAGCGATGTCCCCTCTAAGGCACTAAGGTCAGATATGTAAACAGCGGTGCTCAAGGCGCCGGGGGAAAAGTACAGATAGGGAGTCGGGAAATGCCCAAGCAAGCGACAGACTTCAGATCGTGCGTCTCAGTCTGGCGTCAACAGCCGTTCAGGCCGAGCGAGCAGCAGACCTAGCCTGAAGGCTCGCCGCCTTCGTCGGCAACGGGTTCGCCAACGCATACTGCACCCACCAACTAACCCCGGCCCAAATCTCCTCTCCCGTAGGCACAATCTGCTTCGGGTCAATCACAAATCCCTGGTTCCCGAACGCATTCCCCGGGCGCAACTCAATGCAGAACGCGTAGATGCGTTTGCGGTTGTACCAGAAATCGGTGGACGTGCCCGTGGTGACGTACAGGTCGATCGATTTTTGGGACGTGTAGCGGACCTGGTGTGAAGCGTAGATCTTGTCGCGGAGACCGTCGCCGATGACCTTGTTTTTGGCTTCGTCGGGGGAGTCGGCGCTGGTCCAGCCGAGGGGGCGGAGGACGAGTTGGGAGTAGCTGGGTAAAGTCATTGGAGGGTTAACGCGAGTCCTCAAGTCGCCGTTCAGGGCAAAGACTGTTTGTGCTTACCTGTGGAAATCAATAGCCCCAACAAGGTTGGTCTGCGCCAAAAAGTAATTCTGCACCGCCTGTGTCTCCGGCTCGCTCCCAGCCGACGGGCCCCTGTACGTGTCACTCGACGTCGACGACGACGACCCGCCCTGTCCCCAATGCCCATCATCGTAATTCCTGTTCAAATCCACCCCGCTCGGGCTCGCCCTGTTCTTGCGCCAGAGTCGGTTGGACCCCCACGTGTACACATAGCCATCGGGGTTAACGATCGGCACAATCACAAACTGCGTCGTGTCGAGCAGAGTCGGCGCAGAGGCGTATTGCGAGACGAGCTGGTTGGATACCCACTGCACGGTGGAGCCGGAGATCCATTCGCGGGCGTGGATGAGGCCTTGGAAGAAGAAGGTTTTTTTCGTAGCGGTGTTTTTGTTGCTGGTGATCTTGACCGCGAAGAGGTCGCGGCCTTGACGGGATTTCCCGATGGAGGGGACAAAGGTGACGAGGGTCGGGTTGTTGGTGGCCAGGGCTTGGTACCAGGCTTTGATCTCGTCGTAGGTGTGGAAGGCCGAGAACCAGTCGGCGGCGGCGGCGGTGGGGTTAGCGGCGAAGCCCTGCATTATCGATTGGGGGGGAAACGAGTCAGCTCTTACAAAGAGCGTAACCGTACGCAAACAGTTGATGATATTGTCAATGGAAGACTCACCAAGCTAGCCGCCTTGTTGACACTCTCCCCCTTATCAACAATCTCCTGAATATTCTTCTCCAAAACCTCCACTGTCGCATTGTAAACCTTCACCGCCTTCGCAATCGGCCCCTTTGTCCCCAAGAACTTCCTCTCTTCGGGCGCGATCCTCACATCAATCCCATCCGCGCCCGTGTTCCACACATCGAGACCGAGCTGGTCTTCCAGCAGGGCATGTAGGGCCGCAAGACCGTCCGAAGAAGAGGTGGAGACGCGGACGAGTTGGTGGTTGGTGTACGGGCCGGCGAGGACGGTGCTGCTGAGGAGGGCCGCGGTGGCGGCCAAGGCCGTGCAGGCGTGGGCGAGGAAGACCATTGTTGTGGTCGAGGGGGTATATGAGTTGTGTACGCAATCTAAGGGATGTGGGTCTGCGCCGAGTCCAGCGGGCAGCGGTGTGTATGTGTGTGGGGATGTGTAGGAAAACCAAGAAGGGAGCAGCGTGCCCTGTCGAGCTTTTATAGCCGGGACGTCCATTGGCGAAGATTGTGCTGTGTATGTACAGTGTGTATGTCCTGTTCCGGCTGCAGCGACTTTGGAAGAACACTACGCAACATCCGCGGTCCATGATCGACCGTGTATGCGATCAACGGCAGGGATTGCGCCATGTCGGAGCCATGCCATGTATTCTCTCGGCTAGCGAGCAAGATCAGTGCGGCCAGTCGTACATGGATCTCAATTTCAAGGAGGGTACGTCGGAGGGAACGGTTCTGTTCCCAGACGGGCGTATCAGAGAAGGAAGGAGGGGCGTGAAGTCCTGGTGTTTGATCGGATTTTGGGCGAGGTTGGTACATGCCTGGTTTGCGCCGCCCTCGGCGGCTGGAGCCTGGGGCCTGGATGTATGGCGCAAATCACGGATTGCAGGCGGGTCGCAGAGCGGGGATGGTCCAGGCTACGCCATTCGTACAGATGCTCGCAATGCCATCCTCGAAGGTTTTCCAACGGGATATGTGGGATGCCCCTATATCATTTGGGGCGCCCATGACGAGGATGCATACGCGTATAGATCGCTCTCACACATGCACGGAATGCGGACGAGATCACAGAAAACCTGAACGGTGTCTCGCCGCGGCGAATATCATGCGCTGACGACATGCCGGGCAGACGATCAGCTCCGACTCTGCACGAAAATGCGATCCATAGTCCAGACGGACGATCCTTCCCTGCAGAAGCGCCCCTAGATTTCGGCGGAACCACAAATGCATGATGATACCGTGGTCCGTACATCGATCCCAAGTTGCCTTGGCTTGCGCAATCCGAGTAAGGTTTTTAGGTGTCTGTCGCGCCCGGTCATAGTACAGTATTTCCAGTTCGTTTTGTGCATCTTTACGATTTTGCGTCCTGCATGAAACGCAAAGCCCAAATCCTGATTCCTGATCTCAAGGGTCTGAGGACCTTCGGCGAGCCCGATCGACATCCAGGAAGATTGATGGTAAATATGGCTATGCTCGAAACTCTATGCACTGTACACTACATACCGCATACAGTATGGCGTCAGGGAAGAGCGTGATCCTGACCTTTCCCATCCATCCGACGTTCGCGAGACACTCTGCAGGGCGAAGAAAGGGAGATTGATCCATCAGAGAGATGTACAAATCGCTTGGATGTCAGCCATTGCAAACTGTGGCGCGAGCGAGCGGGAGCGGAACACAAACGGGCAGGGGAGGGCGGCGGACATTGCGCGGAAACGCGTGAGCACACCCCTTCGTGATCGCGCTCCTTTCCTTTGGGATGGTCTCGTATCAGAGCAGGAAGGTGTGCAATGTGCATCCAGCCTTGGCCCTCCCCCCTCTCCACGCACTCCCGATCATGATCGCAGGGTATTCCCATGGCGAGCTGTTGCCAGCGTATTGCGAGATATCCAACCCACCACCATCTGATGCATATCTATCTATGCATGTGCAGTATCTATGTCAGCAAAGACAAAAGTCGATATCGCGCTGGTGTTGTTAGGTCGAGGACGTTGCATCAATGCGTTCCAGCGCCATTCATAGAAGCCATGTACTGTACGTACGTAGACAACCTTTTTGAGGGTTTCCAACACAGATCAACTGGCGGACTTTTCGCTTCCTCATCGCTAATTTTCAAGGGACATCCAGGGCAGTTCCCAAGTCAAAAGGTCATGGTGGCAACATATTGAGTGTACCTAGGAACCCTGCGCCTGTGAGCCGACGACATATCCATCTTCCATGCATATTTACCATATGTAACTAAGATGGTTGCGACGGAGAGCTGAGATCGATATCTCGAGGACATCATGCATGTGGGTGATGGATGATAGCTACTGAAGCAAGGGGGGCCCTTTCTTGAGATGGAGCTGCGCTTCCCGCCGGCTTCACCCGCCGCTCTTTTTTCCCTCCCCTTTCTCTCCTCCTTCCTCTCCTTCTCCGCTCGCTCGCCACCACAACCGCCATCCCTTGAGAGTAGGCCCATTGCAGAAGGGGCTTCCACTCCAGGAAGTGGCGACGACGTGCCCGTCCGCCTCCCCCCCATCACTCCCCTCGGCGGCTTCTCGGGGCAAACCCGCAACTCACGCGCAGATCTCCCACCTTCACGGCCCAAGATTACCTTCACCCACAGCCCGATACCGCCCACTTAACACTCAACGACCATAAGAAAAGCACTGCTCCGAAGACATTCCCTCACGCATGGCCCACGACTCTTCAACCTCCTGAACATGCCCCCAACGGCACCGGCAACAAAAGCAGTGGCACCCTTTCTCATCTCTCACTCGCGTTCCTCTCGAAGCACCTCCGCAGCAGCTGCAGTAAAAGCGCCACTGTCCAGGCGACTCCTGCTGAGTTCACCCCGACCTCGCGTAGTGTTTTCGGCCCGGCCCGCGAGGATCAGGCTGCTCGAAAAGCGACACGCAACCACGAGGGCGGCAGCAGCAGCGGAAACAGCAAAGGCAGGAATACTCTGGGCCTTGCAGCAGAACAGCCTTAGATTGCAAAAAGCGATGGAACAAGCAGAGATGCTGCACTGCAAATCCATCAACAGGCTCGTCGTGTTTCCATGTGGACAGTGTGACTGTAAAGCGGCGATTGTGACGGAAAGCAAATCGGCGGAGGAGAGCATGTCTTCGGTAGACTCGGCACCGAGAAGGCATTCCATTGCGATTGCGCAGACCACCCATCGACGCCCAGAGTCGGCACCTAAGCAACGGATTCATCACGAACGGCAACTCAGTCAACACATTCACCAGCAGCGCGCTTCAACATCCCAACATCAACATCTTGATGGATCACATCAACCTCGCCCACAGGAATCTCACTCACGACAACAGCAACAAGCTCGGCAACATACCCACATCCACCATCACCACCATCACCACCACCACCACCAGCCTCCTCCCACCCCCCCACCCGCCGTCCGCACCTGGCCCACACCCCCCTCCTACACCCAACTCATCATCGCTGGCCTCGTCATCTGCGCCGTCCGCGCCAAACGCGCAGCCGCACTCATTCTCAAACCCAAGTGGCATCGCAGGAAATGGGCGAGGACGTTGGGGGATGCTGCCCTGGTTGGGTTGTTGGTGGGGAGGGTCGTTAGAGGGAGGGGTGCGTTTACATCGCCACCTGCATCTGCCAATGCGTCTGTCGAGCCGACGACATCGGCGCCCGCTACGCATACCCCACGACGGTCTTCAAGGCCATTGCACCCAATACCGCCATCAAACATCCACCTTCGACATCCCGCCCTCTCTCACTCATTCACCACAACCACCACCACCACCAATGATACCTCACCAACCGAACATCCTCAACAACATAAGGATAAGCACCTCATATCTCACACCTCACATACCTCCACCGCCGCCGCCACACCAGGCGTACATACCACCATCACAAACACACCCTCCGACACCTCACCGCAACTTCTGACCCTCCTCACCCACCTAACAACCATCCTCACCCACATCTTCTCAACCCTCACAACACCCCTCTTTCGCCGCCTCCTCAACCTCATCCCCACCGAACTCAGCTTCCTGTACACCTACACACACCTCTGTCTAACCACCCGCACCTACATCCCGCTCCCGCTCGTGTTTGAGAGCGAGATGGTGAGGGGCTCGGGAGGGGAGGTTGTGGACGTGAGCGTCGGGGTGGGGAGCGTGTTGGCGCGGAGGGCGACCCGGGCGGTTGTGAAGGGGGTTTTGGGCGGCAGGGGGGAGATACCGTCGGCGGGACCGCACCCGCTGCCGACCCTGGACGCGTCCACGCTTGCGATCGAGTTCCCGCCGTGTCCCGAGTTTGATGCCGACGATGACGGCGTCGATCTGTGGTGAGACCACCCTCGCGCGTTAGCCCCTTCCACAACAACGTTTCACTCTCCACCCCCCCCTCACCTTCCAGTCCCACACAATGTATAGTCTTGGTTTTTGTACAGACCCCCCCCCCCCCCCCCCCTCTTTTTTGTCCCCTTTTTTGTTCCCGTTTTGTCCATGGATTCCCACCCCAAGTAGATATACCGTAGTTAGTTCGTTTTATTCCCCGGTTTTTGTGCGTACCAACCCCCCCGGCTTGCACCGGGCCGATCGAGTTGGTTCCCCCCCTTCTTTTGCGGCCGTTCTGACGAAAGGACCCGTAGAGTATCGATTCCCGTATCGCCCCTTTTGTAATGAACAGTGTCTGTACGCTAATGGATGTACCGTAAACAGTCAAAGCACGTTCTGAGTTCTCGGTGCCGGATACATTATGCGACCTACACGTAAAACAACACGATGGACGGGACATGTGCGAGGTCTCTCTGATCATGTATGCGAGCAACAGGCGTATGTATTCTAGAATCCAGAGATATGGGTACAGATGGAGTGTGCAAGGGGGCGGCGTTTGATGCTGTGAATGTGCGTCGCGTGAGAGGAGAGGGAGAGAGTCCGCAGTGGACTAGATGGGTTGCACGAGAGCTCCTCGGACGCACACCGGTCTCTGTTCTCCTCCTCCGCTCGTCCGACTTTCGAGGTTGGGCGCATTGTTAGCTTCGCAGCAATATCCCCTCGTATCCCCGCCGCAGGTCCGAAACTCGAGGCGGGCGGGAACCCAACGAGGCGGAAAGGGGTATCACGTCGACGTTGAAGCTGGCCCGTTGATTTGACGACCGTGACCGCGCCGCTGTCCCATACACCTCGCTCTCCCCGCCCGCCCGCATCTATCCCGATCCCCATCCCGTCAATCGTCTATCGGCTATCGCTCCACCTTCACAAACCGCGCGCAGCAATAAGTCGCCGTGTGCACCCCCACATTCGCCCACCACCCATCCCTCCACCCCGCCGCACCTCCAGATCCCTCAAACAATATTCTCCGGCCGCCTATACCCCGTGAGTTCCGACAACGATTCTCCGAGCTTGACGACGGTATGGCGGATGACCCGTTCGTCAAAATTGAGTGATTTGGACATTTGCCGGACGGATTGCGGGGATGCGTAGAATTCCATTGTCCATGTGCTACATAATCGAATCAAAAGGGATTCGTCAGCGTAACTGCAATCAACGGACTCAGAATCATCCCTTCCCAAGATTTCGATACATACTCCCCCTTATCAAAGATCGTCTGATGTCTCTTCATCCGATACACCAGCTGTCTATTCTGCTCCATTATCGAAAACCCCTTCACCACCCCCTTACGGTCCATAATCTGCGTGGCGGCCATCTTCATCAGCGCCTCGGTGGGTGTTAGGGGGATGACCTCGTCAGCCTTTTCGGGCTCGGGCGCGGAATTGAAGGCGGAGAACGTTGATTTTGGTTGGGTGGAGGATGCGAGGGGGTGGGCGGATGGTGAAGTGGGGCCGAAGACGGATTGGCGGGGGCGGGGGGAGGGGGCGGGGATTGGCTTTTTGGGGATTTGCCGCGCTACGGCCTTTGTAGTGGGAGTGAGGGAAGCGACAGGTGAGCGATTGGGGCTCATTCTCCGCAGGGAAGGAGAGGGATATCATTGATGTCGGCGGGAGAGCTAGACGCGAGATCTCTAACCGCCTTCGCCAGTCGTCCCAGGCCTCCGGCCCATGAGACACTCCACATAAACCGATCCCCCCTTGGTGTGCTGCGGTCCCTTCCTTCTCAGGCTCATTCGCTCGTTGCCCTTTGCACTCGCTTTCACGTGTCGAACCAAAGTGATGCTCTTGGTCTCCGTCTGCTTAGTCCACATTCCCAAGCCTTCTCATTCGTTCATTCGTGAACGATCTCCGTCCGATAGTCGTCGTAATTCCATGCGCATCGCTCACACAACCTAAATTTACGTCGCCCTCCCCTCCCTCACCTCTCCCCTCCCTCACCTCTCCCACACCCTGGCCCGTAAACTCGCAGCTCCTGCTCTTCCAACAATTTCATAGAGAACACATACATACCTTTGATATGCACACCAATTCGTAAAGAGGCATTTTTTCGGTGATTCGCTGGTTGTCAAGTAGGACGGTTCTTATATGACGGAACGGCGTCCGGCTGCCTGGCTGTGCGTGCTGTATGGTGGTCAGATTGCGAGAGGGTGGTTGGTTTGCATTGGGGGCTCATCGGCGAGAGGAACGAGGAGGGTTGCGCCACGCCCAAGCCACGCCCAAGCCACTCCCGGCCTCGTTCGACAGTCACCATTGACGGCCTCCTTCCCTACCACTGTGATTTGGTGGACCGCGTGTTATACAGTAGGAGCCTATGAATCTTTGCTACCGTTGAGCGATGGAGGTGAAGAGTGCGCCAGCCTTATATTTGGAATTGAATATTTGCGATGCGATCAAAGGAACCATAAAAAATGATATTCACCCAACAGGCTGCTGACGCCGCTTCCTCCTCCTCCGCCAAGTGCCAACAAGTTCCCCACTCGAACGGAACTTAGTTGGCTCCATCGGCAAGCACCATGGGCCGAGAGCCCTCAAACCCGATTCCTTAAATTGGAAGAGTAGTTCTGGGATGAATTGCACCGCCCGCTTAGCAGAACCATCATCAACCTGCCAGACGGGTTCAACAGCGACCCTCGCAAGCAACTCAAGAAGTTGATGAAGAAAGCATCGCGGACGCCCTTCGAAATCATGACCGGCGAGCAGTACGACGCGTTCAGGAAGAAGGAGCATCCTTTTCTCTGGAATAGATGCAACTATTGAAAGAGTGAGTCAGACGGGGTATCGTCAATCCTCATCATGCCTGTATATACGGGGGTTCGGGATCAAGGCAGTAGCGGCGGTCCAGACGCCTTGAAACCGACTGCCGTTGGCCAAGAAAATAGTAAGGAGCGTGGGAAGATCCACGTCCGGATTTGACTTTGACAACAATCTGTTGAGCGGCCCCTTGTTCGGCAGAGTCATGGACGTCGGGTTGGGACTTGGGGGAGAGTCCCAGGATATCGGGATGTGGGACGATGGGCGATCATGCGAATGAACTCGACGCTAACCGTACATAGCCGTATATAACCGGGTCTGTTCGAAGCGCGACGTTTAGAAACTCATCAGTATGCGAGTTGTTAGGGTTAGACATGGTGGCTTGGGACTCTTGGGAGGGAGGTTGCGGTCAACAAACAGCCCGCAGACGCCCTCGTCCTTTTGCCGGCCTTTCTAGCCCTCAGAAAAAGAGGGCCTGCAACACAAAGTCATAACCACCCGCCCGCCCCCACTCGCACACTGCACTACCCACCCTTCCACTACTGCTGTACAGGAGCCGTTTCTTTCGGGGACGGACTGTCACCCGCTCACTTCAGCCACCGCAATTCTAGGGATTGTCGACTGGGGGCCAAAGATTTCCCCCGCCCTCAGCAACACTCAACCAACGTCGTCCAAAACGTAACCACCACCACCACACTCACCCAACACACCCCTCACAAACAATGCCCTCCATCAAAACACTGGCTCTCACAGCTGGAGCCATTCTCCTCTCGTCGTCTTTTGTCGCCGCTCAGAATAACGTTCATTTGGGCGCGGCTTGCACCCCAGCACAAGACCAGTTTGGTTGTGACGGCGTCACCTTTGTCTCTTGTGATAAGGGTAGGTACCGAGAGGTCGAGTGACGAAGCGGAGCGCACCGAGCGGAGCGAGGGCCGAGTGGAGGGAAGGAGGGAATTTGGAAACCGAGCGAAGCGAGGAGAGTGCTTGAGGTGCGGCAAAGCCCAGCTCCGCCCACCGCAGCCCAACATCCTTGGCGCGAGGGGAGCGAGCGAGCAGGGAATCGTTGTCATCCATCAGTCATCAAAACCCATCAATCAACGCTCCAACGATCCATCGGTCGATGTACTTATCGTTCTTTCATTTCATTTCTCCACAGACCAACGCAAATGGATCACGCAAAATCTGTGTACTGGGCCATGCATCAACGACCCTCCGTATTCGTCATTGTGCAGCTCAAACTCGCAAGTCGGCCCACTGGGAGCTGGCGCACCGGCCGCAACGACTAGCAACCCCGCCACCCCAGCAACAACCAACGCCGCTAACCCAGCAGGATCCACAGGCGGCGCTGCGACTCCCAACCCCGCATCCTCAGGTTCCGCCGCATCCGCAACGGCGAACCCTTCCTCCACTGCAACTCCCACCACCAACAACTCCAACGCCAATCAAGATCCCAACGCATCCTCCTCCTCCTCCTCCTCCCACATCGGCGCAATCATCGGCGGGATCGTCGGCGCACTCGTCCTCCTCGCACTCATCGCCGCCTTCTTCATCTACCGCCGCAGGAAAACGACCGGAAGTGCCACCAACACGCCGTTGATGGGACCCACACCCCCAGTGACGTTTGCGTCGGCGGGCAAGCAGGAGATGGGCGAGGCTGGTGGAGCGGGCGAGGGGAGCAGTTCGTCGGCGATCGGGGGGATTGCGGCTGGGTTGAGTGTTGCGTCGGTTTTGGAGAAGAACTATGGTATGTTTCGTGAAGCGAGCGCGATCGAGCGATCGTCCTCCTCTATTGAAATTTTTACGTAGGATGCTAACCTCCATCTCTATCCTATAGTCGTTCGTCACGATTACCAACCTGCCGCAGAAGATGAAGTGCAATTGAAGGTCGGCGACAGGATCCGTTTGGATCTCCTGTTCAATGATGGTACGTTGGGAACGAGTTCCCACTCGATATTGGGTCGAAGGAATGCAAAGTGTCTTACTCGTATTTCTTACAGGCTGGGCGAAAGGAACGAACGAAACGACCGGTCAACAGGGGTTGCTTCCCGTTGCTTGTCTCCAGGACGCTTAAACTCTCCAACCGCGACACTTACCAAACGCGGCGTAACATTCTTACACATTCGCGCACATGGACACTCTCCGCGTTTACTTGGACATCAGTAACCTGTCTCTCTCACCCTAACCGAGATCCCCCTTTCGGCGTATATACTGTATGTTCCCACCACCACACCCTGACCACCGGATGGCGTACCCCCCACCCACCCCGCCGCGCATCCCCCAATCCAAAACAATTCACTACCCTTGTACCTTCTACTTCCCCTTTTTCCACGACTCTCTGTAATCTATGTGTACTGTAGCATCCCCCACCCGCTCGTTTGTATATCTTGTATCTGACGCTGTCGCTGGCGCTGAGGACGTGTGGAGAATAGCATGCGGATTTTTTCTTGTCTGAGTGGGAATCATTGCGGTGATTGAGTCCATGGAGTGCGGGGCAGATTCCATCTATCTACATGATAGAACGGGACTTCCCCAGAGCCGGAGGGAATGATAATATCGACGCACAATATGTTGCGCTACTAAATCACGGCACTTCCAGCCTGGCCTGAGTCCAACGTGTCTCCGGGGCAACGATGTTTTCATAGAACGAACTGCGAACTAAACCGCCGCAGGTGGACACAAACCAGCGAAGCCGAGTAGTTTCCTAAAACCGCTCCACAGAATATACACAAATATAGACAACTTGCTTTTGGATGGCACTTTCAAATCTTGATTTAACACATTACACGCGGCAGGATCTTCGGGTGGACGAGCCTCAGCTGAGCACACCACAGCAGCTGGACCTAACCCCCCTCCCCGCCAGCAAGTTACAAGCCGGCCCAATCCCATGCAAAACTTGCAGTCGAACAGGGGCGAGGATCGCTAGCTGGTATCATCAATGAATGCTATCCATGATACTGACATGGTCTTCCCCTGCCACAGGGCTCTCCTGGCCGTGTTGATCCTCGCCCGAGTCTAGCTTGGCAAACGCCCCACCGAGGCAAGCTTTGCTCAAAAGTTATCTGCGGGACAGGCCGAGCCCTAATCTCCTCAAATTCCATTTGCCTAATGTGATTCATTCTCTCCATCTCCCGTTTCAGATCTTCAAACTGTCAAATTGTGCGTGAGCGCGGAAGTCGCGTAATCACGGTAGGCATGGTGCATACAATACCTGAGTCCGATGCATTTCTGCCTGAGCGTCCCGGTTTTCTAGAGCTTTCTTCCACTTACGTTCGCGCTCATCGAGGTCTTCCTGGTGCTTTTGCACCCACAACCTGTGTTCTCGCACAAGCCTTTCCTCCAGGGCCGCATTGGCAGCAATATGCTGCCGTAGCTGATCGCGGTGGCCTTTTTCCCGCTGATCATTATCCAGACGCATTTTCATGAAATTGGCCTCCAGGCGTTGACGCTCCATCACCTCCCGCGCGGCAACTTTTCCGGCCTCATCAAGCTTGAAGTGCAGAGCCTGCATCTCGGAGCCTCTGGCCAAGGTCTGCTGAAGAGTCTCTCTCACTGTCATGGCCATCGGCCCGACGCTCAGAGTGTCATACTCTTTGAGAGCTGCTTCTACAGCCGCTTCATATTTCGCGTAGGAAGCAAAAGCCTTCTTCGAAATCTTCGTTTCCAGGGCGGCACATATGCGTGCCTGGATGACATCGCAGTGCTCGCGGCTCTTGCTTCGGTTCATCTCCACATATCGATGGTATTCGCCGCTGATTAGCACCCCTTCCTCGTCGTACTGCGCGAGCAAACCCTGCATCCCCGTTCGAATTAGATTTTCTCACCCCCGTGCAAGTGCCGCAGTGTTTTATATACCTTTAGCTTATTCACATGTGTCTCTATGTCAGTTCCAATTATGACTTCACAAAATCGGCCGATGGCTTGCTCCTGGAACGCCGAGTGATTCTCGAAAAGTGTGTCCATATCCACGGGGAATTTTGGAAGGACATGGCTGCTCATGAGCTCGGTGTATTTCAAAAGGGCTTCCGCCTGTGCTTTGTTGCGGGTGTTTTCGCACAAAACATCCCATGTGTTACTGATATTCGGGACGTCCCCTCGATTGAAAGCTGTTATATACGACTCGGTCATGAGGAGGAATGCTGGATACTTGCAATTTAGTTTCCGCCAATGATCTTTGCCGCAGGACAAACAAACCAAGCCCGAAATCCGAAAACCTACCAGGCCCGTTCACTTTTGTGACTGTGTCGGTAGCGGAAGAAAAGAGTTCTTTTGGTCCCGTGACGGAGAAGACCAACTCCCGCAGAGAATCCATTAAAGTATACCATAGGCTACGAATTTGTTCCGGCCGAGCCTTATCAATGTAGCGAAGCGCCTTTTCCTTATGTATGGGACGGGGTAGACGTCGAAAATAGTGTCGCTTGAACGCCGTTTTGATGAGTCGGCGTACACGGTTTCTGTTGTCGACATCTTGACTGAACCCTGGCTCCTCTTTCATCTGTTTAGCGAAATACTCATCGTCTGTCTGCTCCTTCCCGTCGATGGATACGTGCTCCAACACACTGTCTCTCATCACCCAGATCAGGCTCGGGAAGTGTTTATCAAAATCAGCACCGGTCTCTTCTCCGCTCTTAGTTCGAAGGTGCTTGGTCAAGTCTATAATGAAGCTGAGTCAAAGAGTTTGAGTGATTTTTGCGTTTGATGACATCGTTTCAAGGCATCACACCTGAGATCTTGTATCTGAGCGGCATCTAGAACACTGCCAATCTGATTGTAAATCAGACATGAGCTCAAGAGAACCGCAAGACTGAACAGCTGCAGGTCATACGCAGCCGTGTTGTTCTCCGTGTCTTTGAGGCCTTCGAAGTCAAGCAGCAGCAAGACCTCATCTTTGTCCGCTTGCTCGAAAGCCCATAAATAGGACCCCCGGGTTTTCCCTTCGGCAAGAGGTCCCAGCTCAAAACCAGATTGGGTGCCGAAAAGTTGGTTCATCAGGAAAGACTTCCCGTGCCGGTAAGTTCCTGCAATTCCTATCACCGATACATTTTTGTTAATGCCCTGCAGAAGCTCGGTTGCCTCCGAAGTCACTTCAAATGTTCGGCTGGGACCGGCCAATGTCGTCTTGATGAACTGAATTGGTTTCGGGTGCAACGGGCTTCGTCCTTCCGTTGGATCGACCCGACCGGATGGAGGACCAAGCGCATCTAAGGAGCCCAAGGGCGAGGCTAAGCCTGACGCTGCATTTTCTTTATTGTTGTAATGTGACTTGATCTCTGGGAGAGGGAGCGACGGCCGTTCGGCGTAGGCCGGAGATGGTTCACTCTCAGGGTTCGCTACAAGCCCAAGTCAATTTCACAATAATATACATGGTTGTGTTGCGAGCACTCACCGTCCACGACTGTGCCCTTTGACCGCGGCGCAACTGACGCCGCTGTTTCCTGCGCCGAGTTCTTGTTGGGTTGCACTCTTGCATTTGAAGATACGCAGCAGCCCATATTGACGTGTGAGCCAGTGGTAGCGCCCCCGGACTCTAGCACAGTGAAAAGTCATATTCGGACGTGGAATAGTTCCGTCGGCCTTTTGGGTTATCCTGTTATACATGTTGATGTAACTCAAGCTTGTTGGGATCAAGGAGCTCGGGAAATTTAGTGGCGGGTCGCTGACTGTTCGGAGGTTTCTTTGCTACCCTTGTCCGACTAACGGTACATCAACAATGGGTTGCTGTGCATCAACCCCGGATGCATGGGTTCATCCCAACCAAAGATCGCAAACGTCAGCGAAGGAATCCTATACGCAGTCGGAGTGCTCCGTTACAGCGAGTGCTCCGGGTGATTCGTCTCCCGCTCACCGGGAACAGTCCTCCCTCATTTCCACGGACACGACGAGATGTCCAAGTACACTAGGGTTGGGGTCAGCCCGGCAAGGAGAACCCTGCGGGAGGCCACGACCTTGTCACTATCATGAACAGCGCACCCTTGGCAATACTGCAGCTAAGCCCGAGTTTTGTGGATTTATTTTTGGGCGAGGATCATCGCGGCCAGGACAAACCTGTCCTAGGCCGCGGCCTTGCCCGTATCATGAATAAAATGGTAGGTACTACATATACAATTGTATCTCCATTCCCTAGCAATAAACTGAAATTGCCGTCCAAGGCACACGCGGCAGAGGTTATATTCCAACACAAGGCTGACGGACGGGGACGGGGAGAGCGAAAAAGTCCCGTGAGACACCCACTTTTCCCCTTTTGATTGTTCATATGAATAAAAAAGGAACCCTCGGAAACTTAAGTGCAATTGGCCTAACGCCGTGGGCGATCAACCTTCATGTTCCCCCTTGGAAACGTAAGAAAGCTTTTCCAAATTGCGGAACATAATCTACGAAACGTTTTTGCCGTCCTACGGACAGAGTAACTCAGCTTCGCAAGGCCACCCACGTAGAGCGCTTGTCCATCCCTTGTGCTCCGGTCCTTGCTGCTATCCTGCGTGCGCCCGTCTTGGCCATCTCCAGTGCACAGCAACCGTTCGCCAAGTCTGCAGAGCGGGCCGGAATGTGTAATCGCCACAAAAAATCTTCAAGACAAACTCTCATATTCATTACAAGCGTCGGCCGAGCAAGGAACGCGCTTTCGCACGCGCGGAAGGGGAACCAGGAGTCCATAGCCACCATAGACATTGACCGGCCACTGGGTGACAATGGGCGTATGTAGCAAAACATGGAAAGAGCGTGGGTCATTCTAGAAGGTGGAATGGCATCCATCTAAGTCGGGCAAGGTGGAAGCCTCTGAAGAACGGAGAGTCTGGGAGAGGTGTTAGGCGGGAAGGGACGATGGCGGTATGGGTGCAGTTTAGTGGGGTTTGCCAACTTCGCCCACCTGATCCGTAGCCCACCAAACTACACTTTGCTGCGGGAAGAGAACCCCACCATACTACACTTCATCAACAGTGGGGTTCACCCCGCACCCCCACCAGGGCTTTCCCCTGTGGACCCCCCTCTGCACGCTGCTCGTTTGATGATGTGTTATAGATATCACATACACATTACAGAAAGAACCCCACTCAAGGGGCCTGCGCTGTCGACCATCACCAAGCCTGTGCGCCCACTATGCCCCTTCCCATCTACTGTCACCCTCCAGCCGCAGATTTCCAATTCAAACTCTGGCGATCTGACCAAGGGTACTCTCCGGCAGCATGTTGAGTGGGTCTGGAAAACTGCTCCATGCTGGGTTGGGTTTGAGTGATTTTGGGTTTTGAATTGCAAGATGGTGGGTCAAGATTCTGGCAATGCGCGGGCGGCCAGGCTGGGAAGAACACGCGCAGTAAAAGCGACGCGACTGCGCGAACGTATGTGCGCACTGAGCTTCCAGCAACATCAAGTCCTAAACCACATTTTTCGCGCACAAACAACGCACCTACTCGACCGCCGAAGGTGAAAGACAGAGCCCCGACGACTGGCCTGATTGGCTGCAAAGGGAGTCTCGCCGCAGCTTATACAAGCGCTACCAACGCATTCCGCACCCGTGCCGGCGCCGAGGGGGTTGTTCAGACAAGCGGCTGGCCGTGGCGATTCGGACTTCTGCTGGACTGCATGAGATGTATGATGCCTCTCCCGGTCGCCTCCATCCGAGTTCCGCGTCATTCAGCGCGTCCGTGCAGCCCACGCTTCTTGCATGCCCGTCCCATCATAAGGGATAGATATGTCGCTGGCCCATATTGATGTGCGCGGGAGGATGGCTTCTGGAGGCTCTCCGAATACGCATGTATGTCACTCGGCTGCGGGCGCAGGGAATCGAGGTTGGATCAGGTGTGGGTACTCCTCCTGAATGCAATCCCGTGCCCGCCTTGAATGCACCACGATCTCGCCGACATCCTCGAAAGCAAAGATGTCGGTTCCGATCTCGAATGGGATGTGGATTCGTAGCCCGCATTCACGACGGAAAAATGGAGGTGGTTACGGTCGGCGACAACGCAGATCTTCGCGCGGGCCCTTCATGCAGGCGACCCTTGCTGCCAAGGATGCTGGAAACACGCAGCCCACACGAGTCGTACGTCGCCAGCGGTTCATCTGCGCAATTACGAGACAGACCTCACGGGCGCCGTGCAGGACTTGCTCGGAGAAGTCGCCGCGAGGCCGCCCAGTGGTGCCTGGGAACCCGGAACAACCAGAGTCCTCCGCGATGTGTAGGATGAGCACGAATGCGCATCGTATGCGGAGAGATGGAGTTTGTGATCCGGTGTGGCCGTCCCTTACGGACGGGTATCCTTGCGGTCGATTGATTCAGTTGTCGCCACCGTCGTACTCCCCGTTACGCCCCTTGCATCCTACCCGGCCCCCTTTCGACCTCCAGGATTTGCAGTGACAGGTGATGGGCGCCAAAACATCGATCGTCCTTCGTGTTTTGGGGGGAGCACTCCACTCAGTGGCAGGCCATGAGCAGGCAGCCGTCCGACCCATCCGGAGGCCTCAATTGGAGAGGGGTCGCGGATGGTCACTGTCGTCCCTCTCCTCGTTTGAGTCACTCTCGATCCTATCCTCACCGAGCCTGTCATTTTCATGCTCGCCAGCTTCCCCAGCATCACCCCCACGATTCTCCCAACTCTCGCCGTGGCTGTTGCGGTCCATAGACGTGGTTTGCACCCGCTTTGTTCCTGCTTTCGTGTTCGGTCGTATCCATCGGTGTCGACTCGCTCGTTGTTCGTGTTGCCGTGTGTGTTGCTGTACTGTAGGTCTGAGATGATGAAACAGTCGAAGAGCTTGTTTTCGCGTAGACCCAAAAGTGCCTCCGGTTGCAAACGCTTGTCAAACGTTGCCTGACGCGAGACAATGCAGTGTCTGGGGGAACTCCGCCGAGCAGTCGAATTTTTGGGTCGCCGTTCTTGTCGCTCGATAACTCCCTCCCTCACTTGGACTTTCAACCTACTTACTGGTCCTGGGCATAGACACGGATTGCATCGTTCAATTCAGGTGAACATACCATCGCCTTTGTCGCTGCGGTGGGTGGGTGGAAGCTCATTGCGAGCTTGAACGTCGGACGGTTCCTCGCTGGGTGGGGGAGACCGTTTCCCCAAAAGCTGCACAATCCAGGTAGGGTTCCTTGATGCAGTCCATGATGTGCAAAAAAACGAACGCCAAACGACAACCCACTCGCAGGCACCACGCAACTCCCGCAAGTCTTCTCTAAGCACTCTCCGGGTGCAATCCTTGTAGATCGCTGAGTACTAGTTGCATAGTGCTGATAGGGTTCCTCCCGTAGTGAGAAACGCTGATTGGACGTTATCCCCGATGGGTGCTTCCTTGCGCGTTACTAGCAGCCGTGTGCACTCACTAATGTGGATGTCTGCTGATATCGTCCACTGCGTCCCTGAATTCACTGTGATGCAGTTCGGATAGCGTCTCCCCTGGCAACGAACTTTTAACAGCATGCATGCCGAAAGAAATGGTTCCTACCAACCAACTGCTGCTTCCCTTCCTCTGAGTCTCCATTCCGGGATGGGTCGATCTCCCAATTCTCCGTGCATGCCTCCCATCCGGATAGGGACCTCGATGATGCATGTGACGCTTGTGATGGTCCGGGACGCGACTTCTTTGAGGCCATGTACTGTATGCCTCGAACGCCGGGTTACGGAGGGCGGCACCATGCGAGATCCCCGCTGGTCCGCGAGTAACGACGGTGGGAGGCGCGGCGAGGATGGGTGCCACCTTATAAAGGGAAAACTTACGCTCAACGGGACCCGTAAAGACCGCATCTCTCGTACGAGGTCGTCGGCCTCCCCATAGCGGCCCACAAAGCTCGGGATCGCCTCGAAGCTCGCCCTAAGATAGTGTGACCTATAGCCCTTCGCATTCTGCAATACGCCTCTCAGCCTCCCGCAGTTTCTTCTCCCCCTCTGCTGCAGCCTCCTTTCGAACCGCCCTCAGTTGTTCTTTGTGCTGCCGTTTCAACTTCTTCAATGAGTGCACCGCCTTCTTTCTCGAGTCCATCCTGGAAGCCCACCATAGCCCCTTGATCACCCACTGCGCCCGTGGATCGTCCCTATCTGTCCATCCAGAACTGGCGTCAGCGCTGCGAAGATACGTCCATTGCCCGGAGAGCGAAAACGTCGTCCTTGATATTCTCAAGATCAGTTCGCTGATATCCATGTGTAAGAGGAATGGTAGCGAACCTGGTTGGTTCTCGTTGCTCGCGTGCGGCGCATCGTTTTCTCGGACTCCTATTGGCGCGGCCGCGCTCGGCGACACCGTCGTGACGGGGGGGTAGGCCTGGTAGAGGCGTATATCTGCGATCGCGCCAGCTTGGGCAAGAAGGGTGCCGAAGCGTTCGTGAAGACTGTGGACGATGCGGGTGGATACTCTTGTCCTTCGGTAGACAGACGCTGGGTGTCTGCGGTTTGGGTTGGAGCACGCGTGGTTGCATTGCGCTCTTGGCCATAAATATCGGCAAGCGTCTCTAGGACTCCGAGGATCTGAAAGACGTCGCGCAGCTTGAGGATGCGCTCGCGGGCGGCGGAGACGGGGGTTGGGATGGTCGGAGGGCGGGCCGGGAGGTGGAGGGTGAGGCGTGTGGTGGGTGCGGGGAGAGTGGTGGAGGGGACGACGGGTTTGCCCGGGATGGCAGCGATGGCATCAAGATAGGCTTGGGCGCGCCCACACTTGTTGCAAGCAGCCCGGGCTGTCTTGACACCATTGACAATACCCGTCCTCCACGCAGCGGATGTGGTGGCCCCACACACCACGCAGACGCCTCCGGGGCTGTATGATGGAATGTGGACCCCAAGCGGTTGTTTCGACTCGTTCTGGGATGGTGGACCTGGCCCTTAAACGAAGGCGGCTTACAAGCGCGGACACGAAAACCGAACATCCTTATCAATGCGCATTGAAAAGCGGACCTTCTCACAGGCGCTCCAAGGTGTGGAAATTCGATATTCTTAAACGCCGCTTCGCAGTCGTAGCCGCTGCACACGTAGGCTTTGATTCCTCTTGGACCCCGTTGATGTGTCTTTCGAGATCAGGGCTTCGAGGAAACGCTGCTGCGCAGTCATAGCCGCTGCACACGAAGGGTTTATTTTGAGGTGGTCCGCGTTGACGTGCTTGCCCAGATCAGTGCTTCGAGTTTTCCCGAGTCTCCTCCAAGGTGTGCACAACTCCACCTTCGGGGCGGCGTCCGGTCATAGCATAAGCCGTTGAGCATGTCGCGCAAAGGTGACATGGCAAGACATGCTCAAGGGCTTATTCACAAGTGTCGTAAGGGTAGTAGCATATCAAAAGTCGCCGCAGAAGTCCCATCACGGTGGCGCACCAATTCTGCATTGAACCAAAAACACGAGAATAGCCACATCATGAGCATACAGTGGAAGCCCGACAGACCTCCAGCCTGCATCCGAGTCCCGGCAGTTCAAATGATGACATTTCCAGAGGCTGCGGACGGTAGCGGATTCCTCATAAACTCCGCCCGCGGTGCACAAAAAAGCGACAATTGAATCTTGGCCTCTTCGCGACCGGTAAGTAGGCTGGGTGGTTTTCGCGGCACTTTGGGACCGTTCCCGAACGCCTCGGCAGATCTCTCCCCTTGACGTCTCCGTTCTCGCGAGCAATACCAATTCGTCATCGGGGAGAAGCGCGCTTTGCGGATAAGCGCATTTCTTCAGCGCTTCGTGCTGCTTTGTCGTCAGATAAGGTCTTCCATCTCAGGCCAGCCGACGGGATTTCGGTCATCCCCGCGCCGTTTTTTTTTGGAGGCTAACCCCCATGCCACACGGACCCCTTCGTCGCTGTTGTCCATCGGAGTGAACGGCGGAAGAGACTCGAACTACTGTCGCTTTGTGGAGTTCGAGGGCACTCAGACGCTCCTTCATACCTTTGTGTTCCATCTCGAATCCTTGACCAAGCTGCTCTCAACTCTCCAAATTTGAGTCCGTCCAGCAATTTTCGTTGGGGGAATGCTCGCTGGAAGTTCGCGATGATTGCGTGGTTGACATGGTTCTGACCCTTTGTTCTCATGACCGTATGTTCTCGTTGGCCAACCAGTTGATCCAGTGAACGCAATCCACCGTCAGTCTGCGCGTGATGAGCCGCCCCGGAATCGTACCGTACGGTACCAATTCGGTTCGGTAGGTTGTCTCAAACATCTTTCTTCGCTTGGTATATCCTTCTCACATTACCGCCGGAGATGTGGGTCGCCATAAAGCTGAACCTTCTGCGCACCTCCTCTGCGCAATGCATAGGGGTTGATCCTGTCTGAAAACCCAGCGCATCGACCAACAATGCGTAGAGCTCCCTGGAACGTTTGCCCGTACACGAGATTGGATATACCGTGCTGGGACGTTGCTTCGGTTTTCGTCCCAGCTTTTGGTCGAATATGCTTACTTCGGCCGTTGTTCGGGAGGTGGCCGTAGATCTAGCACAGTGGGTCCCATGAACTCCTGCAGCAAGGCGAATGCGATTCATCCCGAGCGACAGTCACGACTTTAGACTCCCTCCACCTTTTGACTTCCAAAACCAGCCATATCATCTTCGGTTGTCGCCGCTCCACAGAGTACTTTGGTCTCCACCAAGAGTTCCACAGGCAATCAGGATGACAGGGGTAACGGCGGTGCTCTCGTCTCTGCCGGCTGCTCCGTTCGACGGGCAGGGTTGTCCTTGGGCAGATGGGGCTGTGCTCAGATGCTCCACATCTGCGTGACTTGTCTTGATCTTGAAACCACCTTTCAGTCCAGAAACCCTCTTCCACATACAGAGTACGGTTATCAGCGGTGAGGTCACGTGACCCCGCCTCTCGCATGCATGAACGACCCCACGGAAGAAAGAACGATGTCGCTTATGTCGCTTATACGGTTCTCCGGGGGCTGTCGGGCCTCCAGTCTCCAGAAGCGGGGCAAAACACATACCCTCGTGGCTGTCGGGGCTCGCGTGTACATACTGTATCTCATCCTCTCTTCTGCGATACTCGTTCAAGGGTGTTTATGTAAGTCGCGCTGTCGAATTCACTCGTCAAACATCCCGTCACTGTCAAAAGCCACAACCCGCCCCAACAACCAAAGAAAGGGACAATCATTGCTGGCAAACATATTCGCGGACCTTTATGATATTCGTTCGGCGTCAAAGCCAGGTTCACGCCGAGCAACCATGGACATGGAAGCGCAACCCAGGTGGGAGCGGAACTCCCGACGTCCGGGCGACCTTCATCCTGCTGCAAACACTGTGCTATTCACATTCCCAAATCTAACTCGATATACGCATACCCTCAGACTAGCCCCCGTCACCCAAATACACACAGAGTGATGTAGGCCATGGGGGGCGCTCGGGACGTCCGGGGTTGCATGTGTCTTCGCATCTGCGGGCCGACGATATATAAAAATCCCCCAACGAGTCCGCCCGCGTTCGTCCCCAGAAAACATCGATAGATCCGCTCCAGGGTGCGTGGGGGCGCTCCGTCCTCTTCCCAACGCCGTCAGACGGGCAACCTTCCCAAAGATGCGACCGATCCAAAGCAGCTCCTTCGTGGAGCTCACCTCCGAAGTCAATCTCCAACAAGACGGTCTCCTCTCCCTCCCCCGCCTCTCGCACACCTCCTCCCACAACACCCCACCCTACGATGCAGGACCAGCCGAAGTCGTGCCGTCCGACTCCTTCGAGGAACGGAACTGTTCCAGCAGCACCGCCGGATCCCTCAGGCAACCGCGCAGCTTGCGTCGCCCGGAGGATGTGCGGCGGCGGCGGCGTACCCCCGTCGGCGTCTCCGCAAGTGAATGGGGAGACGCGGACGGACGTGTCGGTGCCGATGATGAATATCGTGATCCAGATCGTGGGGAGTCGCAGGGACGTGCAGCCGTTTTCGGCGTTGACGAAGGAGCTGCAGACTTATGGACATAGGTGAGGTGGCATTCAAGTAACATCACCCCGGTGCATGTAACTCAAACCCCTTACGAATCCCCCAGAGTGCGGATAGCAACGCACGAGACCTTCCGCACGTGGATCCGCCGCTACGAGGTCGAGTTCTACCCGATCAGCGGCGACCCTGCGGTGCTGATGGCCTTCACGGTGGAAAACAAAGGCCTACACCCAGCTAAGGGGGATATCGGCTCGAAGCGGAAGATGATTCGGGAGATTTTGAGAGGGTGTTGGAAGAGCTGCGGGGAGGCTGATGACGAGACGAGTATGTACGGCGGGGAACATCACTCATGGGTTCTTTTCGAAACGAGCGGTGATGAAGACCTCGCAATGCATAGGCGAACCGTTCCGCGCGGCAGTGATCATCGCCAAACCCGCCTTCGTTCGGGCACATCCACTGCCCCGAAAAGCTCGGCATCCCGCGGCACATGTCGTTCACGGTTGCCGTGGGGTGCGCACGATCTCGTTCCGCGCACCCACATCGAGCACAGCGAGCCCGTCCACAAGCTCGTCAACAGGATGAGCTACGGAGTTCGCGGATACGGTGACGTGGTTGGGAGTCGGGGATGTGATCCATGAGTTTAGGAGGGAGGTGCTGGCGTTGAGGGGGTTGAGCGTGCAGCAGGGCACAGAGACCGTCGAGTAGTTGCAGGTGCCGTGGACGTCCTGTTGGAGTCCGAGTTTGATTCCGAAGCCCGTGGATTGGGGGCCCGAATATCGGTGAGTTCTTGCATAGAATGACCCCGGCACCATTTTCGCTAAACGGGGGTCATAGTTTCTTTTCTCATTGCGACGAGATACGTAGCAATCACCGGCTTTTACTTTCTGGACCAAGCGACTCCCCCCCCCCCCCCCCCCCCCCCTAAGTGGTGCATCATGGAGGGGCGGGGACGCTGAGTGCGCGGTTGAGGTGCGGGAAGCCGACGGTGGTGGTGCCGTTTTCCGGGGATCAGGTCTTCTGGGGGGCTATGGTCTATCGGGTAAGGGTTGTCTCATTCGGGGGATGAACCACTTTTTCACCACGAAACTCACCCACCCACACCCTCTCGCAGATGACAGCCGGGGCCCCTCCCGGTCCCCGCAAAAGACCTGACCGCCGCCGCAATCACCACCGCCCTCTCCCCCGCCACCCTCCACGCCGCGCAACACATCGCAAACCAGAGGGCGTAGGAAAACGGCATCAAGACCGGTGTCGCCGCCCTCCACGCCTCGCTGGCGTTATCCACCACCCTCCGCAGCGACCTCAACAGCACCTACGCGGCCTCCCTCTACGCGCCAGAACACACCCTCCAGCTCTCCCGGCAGGCCGCGCAGGGAAGGGGAGAAAGGGGGTGGTGCGTTTGCGCGGGTGCTCGTGGGGGTTTGGACGGGGTTTTTGGCTGTCGGTTGGTTGGCGTGGTGTCCTTATGAGAGTGAGTGTTTTTTTTTTGGGAGGGGGGGGGGGGGGGGGGGGGATCGGGTTGGACGGTAAGGATGATCTTTGAATGTGGCTGACGCGCACCCCCACCGTCCTTCTCTCCAATCGAACAGTGGGCTACTACTACTACACGCTGATCGAGGTCGGCGACTTCCTCCGTCGCTTGCCGCTCCTCTACGACCGCTACTCGCACGAGCAACCCATCAACAACTTTGGCGCCGGCCTCGTCGAAGGCTTCCGCCACATCGCCGTCGGAGTGTGGGCCGGGTTCGCCGACGTGTTCCGTCGCCCCCGTCCAATATGCGCGATGCAACGGCTGCTTCCTCGGGTTCTTCCTCGGGTGCTTCCTCGGCCTGCTCATCGGGTGTCTTAACCTCATCAAAGCGCTTGGCGGGTTGGCGACCGGCGTGGGGTGTTGGATCAAAGGGGCCTGTGAGGCAGGCGGCGAAACGGAAGCGTGCAAAGAAGGTGTATGAAGGCCGAGGATGCCGAGGAGGAGGAGGTGGTGGCAGAGGAGGAAGGTGAGGGTTGTTGAGGAGGCGTGGTGGGAGGAGGCGGGGAGGAAGAGTGGGTTTGAGAGGGCGGAGTGTGAGCGGATCGTGAGGGAGTTTGAGACGGTTGTGGAGGGGCGAAGGAATAGAAGGTGGTGGAGGGGCTAGTCGTACGTATTAGATCTAGGCATTGGGGAAAAGGGACGGTGCGATACCTCGCTGATGTTAGAGCCAATATGGTTTTGACATCCGCCGGAGTCGGTCTCTGAACGAAACGCGATGAGATTCTGAACATGTATTTGTAAGTGCTCTTCTACATTACATATGGGTCCTGCCTATATATATGTGCGAAACAGAAAAGATGAGGGTAACAGTAACTCTTTATCTACATTGATTTCTACTTGTATGATTGTACGCCGTTTAGATGAAACTTCCATATGTCGATCGTCCAAATCTACGCCAGGGCAGCCGCGATGACACCCATGAGGGCTGCGAAAGCGCCGGATCCGACGGCAGCGTTGTTCTGGGCCGAGTTTGTGCCAGTGGCGGCGGCGGCGGCGGTGGCGCTGGTGAGAGCGGGAACAACGACGGGAGCAACGGCAGAGGGACGGAGGGTCACGGAGGCGACAGCGGAGGTGGAGCTAGTAACGGCGCTGGTGGTGACGTTAGCACTGACGGTGCGGTTGGCGATGACTGAGGTGGAAGTGGGGACGATGACCACCGAGCGGGTAGTGGAGGCAACGACTTTGGAGGTCGTCTTTGCTGGTGCAGCGGGTCCGGCAGGGGGCTTGATGGTGCCGGAACAGAAACCGGTTTTGTAGGCACGGAACTTGTTGATGTCAGCTGCGCCGGCGCAGTCGGACTGGGCGCAACCGACAAAGTCGTCCTCGAACTTTTCTTGGGTGCAGACACAGTTGCGGTCGGCGAACGGGTTGGTGGATCCACACACGCACTGTGGGATGGGAGAAGGAAGGGGGGAGAAGGATGAGAAAGGAGACCTCATGGGACTGACGGAACTCCAAGGGGAGAGTGATGGTTGGTCGGTCTGACTACTCACCGCGTTGGACATCTGCAGACAAGCCCTAGCACACTCAGCGACTATTCCGATACTTGAACCGTCGGTGGAGGCAGCGGGGAACCTTGTTACTGCGGGACAGGGAGCTTCTGCGGCCTGGGCGAGCACACCTGCGAAGGGGGCAGCGGCCAAGAGGGCGATAGCGGACACGATAGCGAAGGAGCGAGCCATTGTTATTGTTGTTGTTGTTGCGAGGGGGGACTGTATGTAGTGTGGTTGGTTGTTGTTGGGCGAGAGAGATGCTGGGGTGGGTGGGGAGCAGGATAATGTAGGATGAGGGTACAGAATATACCGTAGGGGGGTTGGGTGTTTGTTGTTGCTTTTTGCGTTTGCGGCCGCCCGCCCGTTCCTCCTCGCCTTGCGCCCTTCCATCCATCCATCTACTCCATCCACCCATCGTATTTACTCAGAGTCTCTCAGACTGCCTGATGGGATGGCGGCCATGTCGCTCGCTGATTTGGGCCCCCCCGCAAATTTTACCCATCCTCCGAACACCCGGCGCCAGTACCAGTTAGTACCCAATCAAATGGCAAGGGATTTCATCTCTCACGTGACTTAGGGTAGGATGAAATATCATCTCAACGGAGTCTGCGCTGTCGGTTTCCGTCAAATGCACTTCATACACCCATTGACACCAGCCCCCGAGTCGCTCGCTCGTACAGTACGCTCTTACATTAATCTTACATAATATCCGGTCATGAGGATATAGATGATGAGGAATCTATCAACAATAATACCGGGTTGGGATTAGATGTCAAAACGCCTACACCTTGTCCATCCCATTCGACGTCCCCGTAGCCGACTCCATGATAGCAGCGACACGTTGAGTCGTCGCAATCGCCCCGGCCCCAATGGTGTTGGTCCCGTTCACGGCCGATCTGCACTCTTTTGCCAGTCTCGCCGTCCAGTCGTCCAACTCTTGCTCAGATTCTACTCGGATCATAAAGTTGGCCGTCTTGCCCTTCTTGTGGGCGAGCTTCAGGCAGTAAAGTTGTTTGGTTTCCAACGCTTGAATGCTTGATGTAAACTCTGAGAGCATAATGAAGTGACAGGTCTGTGTGTGATAAAGTACAGAGGATGTGTTGGAGAGAAAAGAGAGGGGGCTGACTGATGAACAAAGATTCCCCCATTTACGGGCATGTTACTGTTCAATGTCGGATCACTATCGCTGCTGTTGACAATCAATGCGAATCCTTTATCGCCATAAAGGATCAACTGTTTCGGGAGCCAAACCGTCATGAACGATTGTTTGGAGGCTACAAACACCGCACCGACCTTGGTCTGCAGCATACCAGAAGGAACGGGGAATAACATGGCGATGAGCATATCCCGGGGACAAACAGGTTCAGCTGTCAAAGTGATGTTCATTCTCACTCACCGCATGCCGAGACCCAGCTTTCACAGCCAAGTTACTGTTACCCTGATCACCACCACCACCCACGCTCGAGGTCTCCTTGCCCTTGCCCTTCCCCCTTATCTCCGACGTCCCCCCCACGCCCGAAACAAGCAGCGGCGCAGACTTCTCCTTCTGCTTCTCGGCCCACGCCAGGTAACAGTTCTTGATAAACAGAACGCCCAACGTGCACCCCACCACCCCACCGGTGGCGATCGTCTTGAGGGCGGACAACCCGCTGGTATTCAGGTCGAGGACGAAGAGGATGACGATGAGCGCGATGAAGATGCCGATGTACGTGTAGAGGAGGGTGCCGATGGGTTTGCTTTCCCTAACATACACACGGATGATGAGTTGGACACTTGAGAAAAGAAGGGACAGATTCCCAAAAAGCTCACCTGAACTTCTTTGGCAAATTTCGGCTGACCCAGCACAAGAACCCGCCGTAGATGAGCAAGCCAATGGTGTATGCAAAAGTGAGGCCTGCGACAGAAACGACGAAACGTTCGTCAGCATCACGGACAACACAGGGAGAAAGATCGTTGAAAACATGGCACCCGATTTCTTTCACACTCACCTAGGAAAACCCACTGAAGCGTTTCCGAGTCCGAACGACAGTAGTACTCGAAGATGTGGTGCGTGCGGCTCACTTTCTGTTGCAAGTGCCACTGCGGTTTCGGCGCATCCACAGCAGTCCATACCACAGCCAGCATCTACAATCGTACGAAATGCCATCAGAAACGGATTCCCCCCCCCCCCCCCCCCCCACCCCCGGTTCTATCCCTTGCAGAAGTGTGCGCGCACGCACATACCATATAAACCGCAAAACAAACCGCGAGCAGCACAAACATCCTCGAGTTCTGCATACTCTTGGTCGCAAAGCCCTGACTGCGGAAAATGCGAAACAACCGGTACGTCTTGACGAGCAGGCTGCCCAGCACCAAGCCGAGCGCGGCGGGGAGGATCCACACGGAGGCTGTGCAGGATGTGATGGTGGGCGTGCCGAGGAGGGTGAGCGGGTAGAAGGATGCGATGGCGGTTCCGAGGAGGGTGGTCAGGAGGAAGGAGGGGCTGAGCGGCTGCAGATGGAGGGAGAAAAAAAATGGCTAAGGAGTGTGTTCGTTGTTCCGTGACAGGAGGCAAGTAAAAGTAGCAAGAAGATGCATAAAGGTTGGAGACATCCCGCTGTTACCTTGAAGACACTGCTTCGCTGATTTGCAAGCACATATGCCGCGACGGCGCCAACAGCGAGAACGCTCAGCGCACAAACGATGACGACAAACACCCCGAGTCCCGAACCCCACGCTACGGTTCTGTACTCCTTGTAGATTTCCAGCGCGTCGGCAGGCTTCTCCACCGCTCCGGAGAAGTACACAGGAGTCGTGTACTGATGAAACTCCTTGACATCAATCCCCGTCCAATTCCTAAACGCGGCAAAAGTGCCGTTATCCCCGTCGTGCATGTCAAAGTAAAACAGCGATCCCCGTTCCCGTCCAACGCCAACGGACCCGTCACTCCCAGCCGGTCAGGGAAGCTCACGTCGTGCGGTGTTGCGAGCCGGACGGTGTTGGATGCGAGGGCGGCGAGGGTCGTGCCATTGCCGTGGCGGAGGGCGTGGTCGTAGGACCAGACGAACGATTCGATGCAGGACGCGAAGAAAAGCGAATACGAATATGGATCGAAATCGTGCGTTTTGCGCCAGTCGGTAAGGAAGGCGTCCCATGCCACCCCCGTGCCTTCCTTGGGGTACGACGCCCATACCCCGTGCAGCAGGTGCCTCTCCACCGGAGTGATTTTGTTCACATCGGTGTAGAGCGCATCGTCACCCGTGATCCATTGATACCCCGCGCCGACCATCCCGCGCGTGCTGGCTTCCGCAAGGATGCTCAGCAGATCGTTATGGGTGCCCAGGAACAGTATGATCGTCGCACCGGACGCCTCGATCTGATCCATGACGGGTTTGAAATCGCCCGTGCCGGGAATATACGTCTGGCTCGTGAGCAACGCGACGCCATACCGCTCGGCATAGTCGCGCACGGAGTTCGAGAGCCCGACGCCGTAGCTGTCGACACTGTACACGACCCCGACCTGCCGATACCCCTGCGCGTGCACAAGCCCGACGATCGGTTCCCCGGCCATGTTGTCGTTGGGGAGGAACCGGAAGAAGTTGGGATACGCGCCCTTGGCGGAGAGGCTCGGGCTGGTGGACGCGCCATCGCAGACGGGCAGACCGAACGTCCGAGCCGCGGACGCGAACGCCGTCGTCGGCTCCGAGTAGCCCACGCCGATCAGCGCGTTTGCGTTGAGGGTCTGAGCGAGGTGGATGGCGGAACCGATGGCTGATGCGGCCTCGACGCGTCGTTGGTCACAATTTGGATCGCTCCCGGGACACGCAGATCGGCGACTACGGGGTAGTCTGCGGCGGGGTCGAGCAGCTGCTGCAGCCGCAGGTTCATGACCTCTGTCACTGCGACGGACCACTCGGCGTCGTCGCCTTGGAAGGATAGACTGGATAGAGCGGAGGTCATTGAAATAGAAGGCGGGTCAGAGGGCATCCAGAGATATGAAAAAGTCACGATAGTTACCTCACGCCGATCTTAATGCCCTGAGCTGAAGTGCCAGGCCACGCAAGCAGGAGGATCAAAGTCCACACGAGCACCAGCTTGAACATGTTTCGCGAGCATCCCATTTGGGAGTGCGAACGTGGGTATGGAGAGCGCAAACGTGGGTATGGGGGAGTGTTGCTGAGTAGGCGAAGTGTATCGTGGGGTATAGGTAGCACGCGGATCTCGCACAAATCTGTTTTTCTTTGTCTTAATGAAAACGGTTGGGGAGGGAAGTCTGACGAGAAGTTTTTTATGCAATGCGTAGATGACGACGAAAACCGGTGGGGACCGTAAACGCCCCCAAATGAAGAAACGACGATACTAAAATAACCTTCATTCTCTAGAAAGCATTCCGCTCATCCCTTGGCATCTTCTTTCGTCCTTCTAGAGACGGCGGGGTCGCGGAACTGTCAATTCCCGACCGCCTCACTTGGGTACGCGCTGTCGAAAAGCCATCGCACAATCTATTTCGGATGTCGCGGTACCACGCACCTGTCTGCAAGCGAATGTTCCTATGAATAGCCAGGCAGAGCGATTGTCACAATCAAGGTTTTTAGGTGAATGGAGCTTCGTTCGCGAATGCAAGCCGCCGGAAGGTCGAAGACGATGTGTGAATGGAACCATTCACATAACATTGACTAGCCGGGAGCAGGAAGGACGGGGACAATCGTGACAGGCCCCCGGGGCTCTGGAAGTGATCAATGTGCCGACATGTTCGGACACCCGTGCCGACGGCGCAGATTTGTCGGTCAGAACTTCGACGGCGAAGATCTCAGCGCAACGTACCTCAGAACATCTCCAAGTGACCATGTCATATCTCTGTACATCTCCAAGTGAAGATGCCATATTTCAGTACATATCTATTTTAAGCAACGACGTCACAGATGAAGGTTGTAGCGGAACATGCGCTCTTTAATGGACGATGCGAGTTTATGAAAAAACTCGCCGAGTTGATCAGAGCGGTGAAGTGGGAGAAGTCTATATTCTACAATGGTACTGCTCAGGCGAGAGACACTTCGAGACGCGAGCAGTAGAAGTACGGAAGTTGGCCTTGTCGCGCTCCCCGTTGAGCCTAAATCAACGCACGCTACACGTTTGTGCACGCCTCCATGACGGGGGAGGGGGTTGACTTTACCGCTGTAGAAGCTATAGAGGTTCGGGATGCCGGAGGCACCCAAGACAAGTTCGCGGATCGGTGCGTGGATGTCGTGGCTCCACTCTCTTTGCTGATGTCGTCCGCATCCTGACGTTGGATACCACCATGACGTCTATTACCACCATGACGTCTAATACCGAGTGCATGGCGAGCCCTGGCCTTGAATCGGGGATCCAATAGAATGAATAGTACCGGGTTGAAGAAGGAATTGAGATGCGCACCGAAAACTGCGAATGTGTCGAGCGTCCCATTGAATTGACGCCCAGTTGTGAGTTCCGCCAGAAAATTGACAAGGTAGAAGAGCCAGCTACACGATGGTTCGATTCATAAGCTCACGCCGGCCACAAGAACGATGATGTTCTGCACCTTACGTACTTTATGACGAAGACACCCACGACGATTGCCGACCGTTTCGCGATCGCAGCCTCTAGTTGCGCAGCTTTGAGATCTTTCAGACTTCGTTGATCGGGTTTGACACTCAGTTTCCTGTCCTTCCCCCGTCCGTGTTGCTGTAGCTGAGCCCACTGCCGGTTGTTCTGCCTCACAACATGCAGGATTTGTGCATAGGAATATGTGAACCAGAGCAGAGGCATTGACACGGTAAACAGGCAGCCTATGGTCATGACGAGACCGCCAGGACTTTGATTGGACCAATCTCCCGCAAAGTACAGGCGACTGTACTCAAGAATATGATGGTTGCCGAACCAGAACGGAACGGACGCGAGAATGATGCCCCATACCCAGCTGAGGGCTGCTAGATAAAAAGCTTGCTTGGTACTGATACGGTAGTTTCGCACGATTACAAGCCAGCGGTCAAACCCGAGAAGGCCCAAATTTATGAGTGAAGCCCCCTAGAGGATGTTTAAAACGAAATCAGGAATGCTTCATCTTTATACTGGGAAAGGTCACGTTTCTTATTCTCACTCACACAAAACATCACTTCAGCGTATCCATTGATCTGTCCGCCGACAAAGCCAAGGTAAAACTTGCCGGTAATCAAATTTGGAGCAAAGAAACAGAATGCGTTGACGGAGCCAAGACACAAATCGATGATGGCAAGATTGAGCACGAGGTAGGTCTAAGAGAATACAAATCGTTAGCCGTCGAGCACAAATCCTCGGGGAACTTTCCCCAATCCTTACCGCGGGGTTGCGAAGCTTCTTGTCAGTACAGAACAAGTAGATTAAAAAGGCGTTTCCAAGGCATGCCCCCAAATTGACCAGCAAGAGCAGTAAGATAAGAACTCTGTCGACAGGGCTATATCGAACGGTGGTGATATCCAAGAAGCGCACTTCATTGAGGAGCATAGCTGTGATTTGGTGAATCTATGCGCACTATGGTAGTCTAACTGATGCGTCAAGAAAGGATCTGGAGGGATATGGACTGCAGCACATCAAGCATGCCGACCGGATTCGATACATCTCAAACTGAGCCTCCAAGGACTAAGAAGCGGGTGGAAGAAGTATAACCAGCTTGCCGAGAGGACGCGTTACATGTACATTTGAAAGCATCTTGCAAGGATAAGACGCGGATGGAGGAAGCATATCTAACCTAACATGCGCAAAAAAAAAAGCCTTTCCAGTTTCTTGAAATACCCGGGCACTGCGGGAACGGTTTGTTTTCAATGTTTCAATGGAATGGTAAAGCGGGCGGAGGAAGTGTACATCAACCTTGCCGAGAGGACTTGACACCTGTGAAAGAACGTAATCTCGTGAAAGAAAGCCTGCAAGGATTAGAAAGCGCGTGGAGGAAGTCTAGCAGCATTGTCAGGTTTCCTAAAATAGCGACGGTTGGTATACAATTCGAATTGCGAGACGCGCTCAATACAGGCGAGTTGGCGAGACGGCCCGAGATCGAGATAACCCCTTGCCGTATAAAAGCGGGGTAACGAGAGGCTTTCCCATTGCATCATGTATCTGCCAACTCCGTCTGCGCTGCTGTACAAACATGACAGACATCTCCGTTTCCATTGTTGTCGGGGTCGCTTTGTCGGTCCTTCTCGCCGCTTGGGCCGTAGCGCATATGCTCGTCCTTGAGCAGTGGACCAACTTCCTCTACTTCCACGCGAGGATTCTGAAGCGTCGCACGCCTCTCGGCCCGATGACAAACAGTCGTCGACACCTCTCCGAGAACTTCAAAGATCTCACTTGTCTTTCGATAACGCCGATGACCCTGCTCGTGCACATCGCGTCGCCTGAAGTATTGAGTGGCCGCTTGGATCTCGCGCTTCGGCCACTGGACATCGCAGTATCGGTCATCGGGATATACATCTGCTTTGATGTCATCTACTACTGCGTTCATCGGACCTTCCACCAAGTCCCCTTCCTTTATGTGCACATCCACAAACGCCATCACGAGGATGTTCCCGTCCATCTCTTCCTAACGGCAAAAGCCGAATATATTGAGAACATATTGGCCGTATCGCCCGGCATCTCGATCTGGGTCATCCTGGTCCTCAAGTTCTTCCCAACACTCAACCTCTGGACTCTACTCCTCCCTGTGCTGACCCTCGTCATGGAATTCAATACGGCGCACACCGGATACCTCGACCATCCTCTGCTCTACTTGATGAGCCCTTTACAATGGCTTGTCAAAGCTCTACCTTCAGCGCGTCATGTTGCCCAAGAGCATGAGGAACACCATTTAACGTTGAAGAAGAATTTCGCGCCCATCTTCAGTTTCCTCGATCGGTTAGGCGGAACCCATTCCGTCCCGGATCGTAAGAGATTTGCAACCGCCGACGTAATGGAATCACGAATCAAAAGGACGTAGGCATGGCTGCCAATCCAACACTGGCGTTGTGGAGGAGTTACGATTCATAGTCTAGTCCCTATGATAGCCTTTTATGTGTATCATGTCACTAGTCAAAATAGAACCATAATAGCTTCCCAAATCAGATTTCGTTTACCGTAGGCTATTTGCAGGTTAAGTCCATTGGCTAGTTCCTCGCAGGAAGACCCCCTGCGAGGGGCAAAAACTGCACTTCACTCGAGAGCGAAGATGGTGACTATCGTTCCAAGGTGCCTTTCAGCCTCTCCGCTTCTCGGGTCATCCCAGTCAGTGGAGCTATTGGCCATCAAGTCTATGGGCTTGCGCCCACCTGCGCTTCAAAGCATGCAGAGTGGCAGCCGAGCCTGTACCGCTAATGGAGAGAGTTGATAACCGTGCGGTTGTTGATTTGATACGGAGCAGCGCACGACTTCCCCATTTGCGGGTGCCCGTGGAGTCCAGCGTGGAGTCCCGAAAAGAGCTAGCTTGCCAAGGCCGATGACAAAACGGTGAGCGAATAGCCAATTTCGGCAATGCCCTCCGCAAAATGCAGCGCGTTCAATCCTGTCAAGTGTACAAGTTGCCTTCATCGGCGACGCCTCAGGCAGAGGTACAATGATGTGGATGGCAGATAACCACCACGGAAAATGGTATGGGGTGAAATCTAGACTACCTACGGTTACAGGAGAATGCGTCTGGTCTGCGGCCATTGCCAAACACCACCGAACGCACAATCGAGAGGAAATTCTTGGTGCTTAGGACGTCCCGATTGTGCACTTTCATCCGTAGTGGTCGTCTTCCAGCAATCTCAAATGGCGTCCAGTCTTGGTTGATACATTCGGGGTTGGGGCAACCCACCAATCCATGGACGTATTCCATTCTTCCCTTTCTAGCTTGCCATGGCCGAGATGACAGCCGCCGTCGGATGTTTTTCTTCACACGCCCGTGGCAGTCTGGGCACACGGAGGACGTTCGATACTCATCTAGCAAGTAGCATGGAATGCTGTTTCTCGCAAAGAGTGTGCGGAATCTAATTTCCATGATGAGTTAGCATAATAGAATACATAGTAGATACCACCAATCATGGTCACTCACCCCTTGGTCTTTGATGACTCCTGAAAGCGCATTGTTTTCCCAGCATCGCTCCAATCACCCAAGACAACCGAAAAATGCTTTCCATACCGGCGTCGCATGTTCTTAATGAGCTTGCTCTCAGACTTTTGCCGCAGTGAGAGAGCCTTGAATCTGCGAGCGACGTGAATCTCATCCCGGTAAAACTCATCCAGGGCGGGATCTGGGATATGGATGTCAGCCCATGTATTATGGAATTTGAAGACAATGCATAATACATCATACCTGCATGTATGTGATCCACAATGAACGCTGAGAACGCCTCGATCTTCATGCTCTTGTGCGACGGAATATGTGATTCCATCTCGGCGATGCCAACATTGATCTTTCGCTCTCTCATGTCTCTTTGAAAGTACCGCGACTTTGTCTCGACCGCCCGTTGATTGGATGTGTATCTGGTATGGGGTGGTGCATTGTGAGAACGCTGCAACGGAATGTCGCCGCAATGGGGATGGTGGGGATAGGGGCGGTGGGAGCGGCAGCGGAGACGGGGGGATGGTGGGCGGAGACGGGGGGCTGGGGGGCGGAGACAAGGGGCTGGCGGGCGGAGACGGGGGGGGGGGGGTAGCGGAGACGGGGGGCTGGCGGGCGGAGACGGGGGGCTGGCGGGTGAGGTGCGTGGTGGCTGGCGGGCGGAGACGGGGGGGGGGGGGAGGAGGGACAGCAGGGCAGTAGTAATCAACTGAAACGTACCGAAATGGCCGCTCCTTCTTGATGTCTCGACAGAACAAGAGGTCACGCTTGCCCGGATCAATGCAGACGATGTTTGGAGCCTCCCGTAGTTCGGCGATGTGGTGCTCAAAATACAGCTGCTTGACTTCTTCCTGCATTTGGGCTTTGCTGCGCTTCCCGGCGCGATGGCCGTACTTGAGCCCTGGCTTCTTGAAGTGGATGGTAGCGGAATACTCGTTTGTGCTGATTGAGCCATCAAATTTGAGACCAAGCTTCTTTCGATCCTTGAAGACCTTGTCCTGCAATCCGTCATTCAGCGAGGTGAGGTGAGTGAAATAAGCGCAGAAGGATACAGACTTAACTTACATTCACATTGAGAAACTGCCCCCACAGCTCCCGCTTGCGTTGATCGGTGAGTTTCCCCATGCGATGGTGGCTCAAGCCCAGGATATGAGTGGCTAGGACCTTTGTGTCGATCCTAACAGATGACTGGATTCGAGATTTGCGTAGCGGGATCGCTGAAAACAGCCGCATTCCACAGCGCTCATAGAGACATGAGAGCTCACAGTAGGCACTTGTGATGAGGCAGGTACGGAGCATGATTAGACAAAAGAGGAAGCCGGGGGGGGGGGGGGGGGGGAAATATACTAACTCACCTAAATATGGCATTGCATCCACCGCAAGGCTGTACGCAAGCGGTTCATCCTGGGGAGGAAACAGAGCCCATAACTCGTCGAGGACGGTCCGCTCAAGTCGTGTGAGGGGCGCAAACTCTTCTTCGGTTGGAAACTCTTCAAACGTCACATACTTTTTAAACTGACGGACACGCTGATAATAGTGTCGCCGCTGCGCTCGGTTGACTCCAGCTCTACGGAGATGCAGTACGACTTGCTTCAAACCAAGCCTTTCATTGACATAGCGCAGAAGCATTTGAATGAAATGCTCTTGTACGTTGACTTTGAGGTTTGTGAAGATGCTCGTAGCTGTGTACGCTGCAGTCTGTTGGCAATATTGCATGCGGATGGGGGCGAATCCGTGAACATTACAGTAGTCTTGAACCCATGGACGCAACTCTTGCGTGATGACCGGATTGCCGTTGTAGCCTGGATTGTTTAGCAGCTCAAATATCATGCTGATGTGCTTATCCGTGATGTCCGGGAAATCGTGCAGAGGATGATCAGCTGTGGTGGGCAGACGTAGTAGTCAGGACATTGGTTTATGGGAAATATTATGGGAAATATACAGTGTACCTCAAAAACTCACCAAGGTAGTACTTGAGAAAGAAGGTTGTGTGGCGCGCAAGGACGTGAACATTGCCGATGAACGTTGTCAGGCGCTCCCTTTGCTCCCTTTGAGCTTGATTATGGATGATTCGGTGAAGCGAAACCTTGGTGCTGGCGTGTGTTTGCGAGCGGGGTCGTTGAGCGGGTGGTGGTGGCGGGGGTTCATACACCAGGGGTCCACCCGGTGTGCTGGGAAAAAGGAACGGGATGGGAGCGGGGAGGTTCAACGGGCGCTGGCGCTGCAGACCCCTGTCCACGGGTGAAAGCCCTCGCTGCTGTTGCTGCTGCTGCTGCCCGTCTTCATTGCCGGAACTCTTGCCGGAACTCTCGCTAACCATGTCTGCAATTGCTTGGGGCAAGTGGCGTTGGACAGACGGTGGGAACTCGAATCGCGGGGGCTGCAATGGCGTCTGTACAGTTGGCAGACATATGGGCAACCGCGGGGTAACCGGAGCAACCTTCCTCCTCTTCCGCCGTGGTGTGGTTGCTCCAGTAAATATGCCACACCACAGGTACCCCTGGAGCGCTTGGTGTGATGACATGATGACTGTGCTGTGCCTTAAGTCAGTCGAGAGAGGTGTTGCAGTTGATTGCTGTGATAGCTGTGTGTCAAAGAACTCGCGTCAGTGCTGTGGTAATGATTGCGGAGAGCGGTGAGGAATTGCGGTTGTTACCTGGTAGCGGTTGAAGGTGAAAACGGGGATGCTTACTGCCCACAATTGCGTTGGGAAGGAAGGGGGTTGGGAAGGAGGTTTGGTATGTAATTGGGGGCCATGATGAGGTGCAATCAAGAGCGTGAGGTGTGCGAAGAGTGAGGAAGAGTAGAGTGAGGAAGAGTAGAGTGAGGAAGAGTAGAGTGAGGATTGTCCTTTACACGCGTGTAAAGGACGTGGGGTTGTTGTGGAACTCGTTACTTTATTCCCCTTCACACACACCACTCGTTTTATAGACATTCGAACGGACGGTCTGCGCACACACAACCAGCTCTCTATCTGCAGAGAAGAAAAGGGGTACGGCAACTATAAAAAGGAAGCTGTGGCTGAAACTCTAAGCTGAAACCCTAACGTTGGGGGGCCATACCAGGACGTTACCTATTCCACTAGATCTTCCTGGCATGGTGAAGGAACGAGTAGATACTCTAAGTTGATAATAACAACGGAATACCTGCGCCGTTATCCCAGAATACAACAGAAAAACCGTCGTTCCGGTTTTTCGGATGTCCGACTAGTGGATGCACTAGTCTTGTCTAGTGGTTGCACCGCATCAGGTATCCCCCGCTCGGTAGACCAGGGGGATACCACCGCAGGAAGGCTTAGTTACTTGTCCTCAGCCAAAGCAAACGTGCTTTTTGATTGTGGGACAGCGGCAGCAAAGCTGGTGTGCGGGGTGGCGGTCCTGGCACTGTTATGGTAGAGAAACTTTTATGTAGAATGGCAATTTTGGCGTAGATTGGTGGTATCTCGGTATGATATCCCATTGAATAGAGAAGCCTAGACACAGTGTGAATCAGAGAAAAAGGGAAGGGGGGCGGAAGTAGGCTTTATCTGCGCACAGAAAGGGCTCATATGTGTATGTTTTACTTCCGTTGGGGACGCACTTTCATCAGGGTTTAACGACCGACGTTTTGACAGGATTTTAACAGGTTGGAATTCCCGACTATGGGTTCCGGGCATCGGTACCTGAAAAGCCAACTTGGATTAAGCACAAATGTTTGATTTGCGGGATGAAGGCAAATAGATGTGCCTATTCTTGGGATCCGGCTTCTGAGCCAGGAGGTGCGCCTAAAAGTCAATCGCATGATATGTGGCTTAGAGGGAAAGTCCGTAAAGAGTTCAAGGACATTTCGAATAACGAGCGTTTTCGGTTCCGAGTATCCCTGGACAACGACCGCCGTCGGGAAACGGCGTTTGCTGTACTGATATGGAAAACGCGGCGACGGCTACATATTCCCTGTCGCGATGGACGGCTCGATTCCGGGACGCCGAGATGGAGGGGAGGTACGCCGCGTGGGCTGCTCCCAATCGCAAAGGGGGGCTTCAATAGAAGTGGGGCGAATCTAACGGCGGTATTTTCCTTCTCCAAATCCACGGGGGCCAGATATGAGCACCACGTAGCAAGCCAGCGGCGGCGGCGCAACCTGGTCAATTACACCGTTGGGGGGGTTATGCTAGCGGTGTTTTGGCAGCGAGCATCGGCGGAATTTAACCCGAACCTGCCGCTGAGGGATAAAGCTTTTATCGTCCATGGCCCGTATGTGGTAAGTACTTCTCCGCAGACGCCCCCATTAAGAACTGCTACCGTCGGCCGCGCAGGACCCAACGCATTCCTAACTGCTTTGTCACTTTCATATATGCAGATAAACTACTTAACCGGCGCCTTAGCTTTCCTCGTCGCCATCCTCCTGAAACCCCCATGGGTCTCCCGTCTCAGCGCCGTCTCCCTCTTCCTCTTTATAACGTTTAGCACCTACTTCATCCACGTTCCCTTCATCGCCTACCAATCCAACCCGCGGCTGAAGCCGCTGGCTGGGCCCGGGGAAGCCGCCGTTACGTGGATCATTCTGCGGGCGGTGAATTGCGAGTGGATCCATAAGGCGGTGGTGGTAGTGGTGTATATATTGGGCGTACGGACGCTTCTGACGGCGGCATGGCATACAGACGACTTTGTGGGCGGCGGGTATCAGGTGGCAGTGCAGCTGATTTTTACGGTGATTGTTACGTTGCTGAATGACGATCGCAGGTGAGTCCGTTTTATGGAAAGGGACTGCTACTCTGCGTCATGCTAAAGAATTATTTTCTCCACAGGCGCGCAATACAGGAGAAAGAGGACTTTGCGCTCCTATATCAGAACAAGCAAAGGAAAATTCTGGAGAAGCTGGGCACTGGCAACGCCGCGCAAGCGAAACGAGTCGCAGTCCTTCGAACGGAAATGTTACGCAAGCAAAGCGGTGCTCACATTGTGGAGGATGGTGAAAATTTGAAGGAAGGGGAGGGTGGGAAGAACCTGGCACCAGACGAAGATTTCGAAGATGGCGCTCAGGGGTCCCTCTTTGAGGGTTCTCGTTGGAGGTATATCTTTGTCGTGGACACTTTTCGGGCTGGGAGGAGCAATCACGGGCGGAGCAACGAACAAGAAGACTCTCCAACGAGGTGGAAGTGGATACAGGAGACCGTCCGAGCTGGGTTGTTGAGCACCAAACGGATCATATTGCATTTCTACGCGCAAAGATTTCCAGCGGCCGAGTGGGAAGTCAAGTACATCACGTTCAGCTCAGATGTTTCCCAGCGACAACAGCAGTTTCTCTTCTTATCCACCGCTGTCTCTAGCGTGATCGCGGCCTGTGGGGAGTATTATCTAACGCGTACGGTCACGGTATGGTTCCTCCATCTCTGTGTGACGGTACCGGTCGGGTGCATTTTAGCGGCCGGGGTCAAACAGTTGGCCGCGTTTGGGCCCAAGCATCCGAAACGGGAGCAGATCAGCTGTATCTTGCTCGGTGGGAGCTTGGAGCTTGGATTGGCGTGGATGGTGGTCAACGCGTGGAGGCGGTGGATCAATCATCGTGCAGAAGGTGGGGATCTCGCTGCGCTTGGAGCTTCCGTCACCAGCGTGCTTTTGCTGCATGTCAACTTCATCCTGTCAAGAGGGACGCTTACGGGGCTGCGAGGGCCTTATGCAATGACTTTCTCCGCCGTGGAGTCTGCGATTGCGTTTGGGGCGTTCTTCGGCACTAGAGAACGGTATTTGGTCCAGATCTATATGAGTTCCATCCTCATGACGACTGCACTGGTTTCTCATGGAGAATCAGGTACGATTGCATCGCCTTCCCCGCAAGCCGAGTGTGGCAGTATCTGACAAGTCCTTCCGATGATTTTTAGAGCTCCGCCAGCACTTTATCGTCAACCGGGCTCTCAATCCAAACGGGCCTGCTGCGAACCCGCCTGGAGTTTCCTTCTCGTTTAAAGATCTCGCATGCGCGCGGGACGCATCCACTCCTGCGGGCCCCGTCAGCAGGAGAAATTTGCGACCTTTAGCGAGCAGTGCTATACAACCGCCGCCGGCTAAATGGACTGCGTCCGGGCGGCAGCTACCCGATGCATCTCCTGTAGTAAATATCGAAAGGCTGGAGGACGGTGCTGAGGCTTCGCCAGAAAATGTGTGCAGGCCGGATGTGTGAAGAAGACTCTCGGGGTTTATGATGCGGCATATTTTTACCACCCCATTCGAAATGAACTAGATCATATTATAGTAGCACTGTATATAGAATACCCTACAGGGCAATCCGCCGCAAATATGCAGAATCATCCCTCCAATTTTCCCACGAGATCTTTTCCATCCTTTCTCCCACACAACGCGCTGCTTTATTTAGGTGGGCAAGGGATGATATCAGGCCAAAGAAGGGGGAGGAGCTAGTTAGATACTTGGTGCAGGAGAAGAAGGAGTTGTCAGGAAATGCTCCACCCTACTTGTTACCCGCAAAGTAGTGTCCGGGTCACTATGTGGTTGCATGCCACCAGGTATCTACCAGACGTTGATGTTGATGGCCCACGAGATCCGGAACCTCTCCTATGTTAGTGTCCCTACGGTTATCAACAGTCGCCAGTCTGTTGCATAACCGGCCTACGGGTCACATCCTCGAAGTAACGGAGCCGGAGTAACGTTAACCGGCCGACGCTGCCAGCCCCACCGGTGCGACTGCTCGTTACTGGTTGCTCTGGCCTGGTATCATGATCATGGTTGCCGCTCCCTTCACCGAATTGTAAGTTGATACTCGCTCCTCTGCGAGACTCTGAGTTCAAGAGACCGCGATCAAACAACTCAACTGTTTTCTGCAGGTTCTGGAACTGGCGCACTATGGTTGCTGGCTTCAAAGGTCTTTACTTTCAGCTTCTTCGCCGATCCTCAACTTCCTCACGCTCCATCGACGAGGACGCTGAGGAAGACCCTGCAGGCCCCGACGAACAACCCCAGGCGTGGATGTGGGTCGGTGGTCTTCTCGCTTCCATCATTATGACGGTCATTGTCGGATCCACTATGTTCGGTGTGGGCGTCGGTGAAGGAATCCTCGCTGTTATTCTCGCTTTCATTTTCGCCTTCATTGGAATTCAAGCTTCCGGTACTACCGACATCAACCCCACCGGTGTCATTGCCAAGACCGCCCAAATTGTGTACGGTGGTATTACCCGTGCCAAGGGAATGACGGAATCGCCTTTGGTCGAGAGTGCTCTGATGCAGAACTTGATGGCTGGAGCTCTCGCTTCCGCCGCCGCCAGTCAGGCCGTCGAGATGGTCGGCGATCTCAAGACCGGTCACTTGTTGCGCGCGTCTCCTAAGACGCAGTTCATCTCAGGGTCGGGTGATGGCTCTTGGGCTTGTGCCTCCTTGCGGGGCATAGTAGTTGGGTATGGTTGCGCCGAAGATTTCCCCACCTTTGTGCAGGAATGTGCCACCGACCAATGTGTCGATACAAGCCTCCTCGTGTTCTCCTGGTGTGTCGATGTCGTCGTTGTCATATCCCCCCTCCCCCGCGATATCAATGTCTTCCTCCATCGGCCCCGCCCCACCCCCGCTCCCTCTTCCCAAACCCACATTACGTCGAAACCCCGGACCGCCATGCGCACCCACATCCCTGGCCCCATCACCACCTTGTCCGAACTCAGCCTCGCCGCCGCCGGCACCGCTTGATGGATCGTATCCATCCCACCACCTTGGACTTGGTCTAGGTAGACCCGTCCATGCGGAGGAGAAGGCATCGGCTATACGTGCACGCCATTCGACTACGTCCCGGGCCGGCCAGTTACTCCTGTCGCCAGCATCTAGCCGGAGTCGTTGGCCGTTAAACGGCATTAATCGTGTATCTGGTATGAGGACGTGGACGAACGGCCAACCCTAGCAGGTATGTCAAATTTAGTATGGAGAGGGGCAGGCTGTATAGTATGATAGTTTTCTTCCTTTTGTTACATACCTCCGCATCATACCTCAGACACCACATATTTGCGTCGAATAGCGTATGCCATTGTTTGTCTAAGGTCAGCCCGTTCCGCACATCGTCATGCCCCTGGATGGAGAGAGCGAACCCCTTCGCAGCGGTGGCCTATGAGAGCAAAGTGATTATAGAGTTGCAGTCTGATATTACCCTTCATGGAAAGGCGACACGTACGGTTCCTGCGTATTCTACAGGAAAAATATGGGCGGCATCAATGCCCACAGACTCCCCGGTAATCAGGCAGTTATTCCCATCGCGGGCCTTGACGTGTCTTGGAAAGACAGACGACTTGCATGTAAAGAAACAGTACAATGTCAGAGAGGACAGCCGAAACGACAAGAGGTTCAGTTCAGTTCAGTACCCTGTTTCCAGATGAACGAGAAGATGCGCGGCTCATGGTGAATTGGGGGCTGAATGGCTTGCCTGGTTCGTCGGAGGCCGAGTTGCGGAAATCGGATGTGGAGTCGCTGGTTTCTTTGAGAAGCTATTGGGGTTTGTTGGGTGGTGCTGCTGGAGGAGAGTGAGGGGGATAATGTGGAATCAAGATTGGGTTCGGTGGGAGGAGGGACAGTGTTGGGCGGGGTGAGAAGGATATGGAAACGTTGGTTGCCCTGAGGCGTGGGGCAAAGAAGGCTTCTGTCTTAGTCTTCGATATATATAGCCTCAAATAGTGCCAACAAGTGCACTCATTGTGCCCTGGACGAGGAACGGACAGTCACCTCGCAAAACTCTGTACCCCCCCCTGAAATAAATCAGCGACTGCCGCGACGCCAAATTCACGTGAGTAACCAATATTGATTTCAATTAGAGGGGGTGTACAGAGTTTTGCAAGGTGACTGTACAGTGGGTGGCCAAAAGATTGGCCAAGAACAGCTCATTCAGGGCCCCCTCATCAGCCCCCTCACCAGCCCAGCCGGCTATCAGCCAGCCAGCCAGCCAGGATCTTGAAATTGCGAGCGACACAATTCCAAGGCACCTACAGGTACAGGCATTCAACGGCCTCACGAAGCTTTCGGCATCCATCTAACAGTGTCACCGTTGTAGTAGTGCGCTTCAAACTGCGCATGAAGTCGATAATATACCGCCGCCAATTGTACGTCTAGAATCTTCAACGAGCGAATGAAATCATCTTTATATGACAACGTCAAAATACCGTCAAAACTTCCGACAATAAATCGACACACTTGCGTTCCCGACACTCCGAGAATTACCAAATACAACTACCTTTACGGAAACCTTGCTTCACAACGACGTTTTGTCCTCGGATACGACTGACATGCGAAAGATGTAGGCGTAGGAGAGGATCCCACACATGAAAGCACCCCCGACCCGACTATTAACCAACCAGAAGCTCCCACAATGCCCAAAACGCTGAAGAAATCACCTGCAAAACAAGAAAACCAATTTCCAGTGGCCGTATACGCCGAACGTTGCAGAAAACCCCGAGAAAAGATTAGCGATAAGACTGTATCAGCCCCAAAATTGCAAATGGAAAAACGAAAAACTATGTAGACTGTCGGGGATATCTCATCTTCACCTGTATTTCGTATAATATCTCTTTACTTCTACTTGATCCGAGACCCGGGCTGGCCACCCGAGCTCCCGGTGATACATTACATAAGGCGCCAAGCCTCACTGAAGCCACGCAAGCCCCACTGGCAGCCCATATATAAAGCTGTCAGTTGAGCGGCCGCTGCGAAGAGCTTCTTACTTTTTAGGGTTAGGGTTAGGGTTAGGGTTACAAGACCCCCTGGGACAGGGTTAGGGTTACAAGACCCCCTGGGTTGGGTTTTATTATTGGGTTGCCTGGAACCCTAGGGACTTAGAAATTTTCGGGTTTTCTGGCTTTTGGGTGTGTTCTACAGTTCGAATTTTTGACTCTGAGGGATGTAGTTGCGGGGGGTGTTGGGCACCTAAGCAAGTCGGGGAGGACTAGGTGTGCAAGGGCAAGTGATGGGTCATATGGGCGGTGGTGCGGGTACGGGGCGGCAGCAGGGGTGCCAATAGGGGGGGGGGGGTTGATATAAAGGGGACATATATGTTATATATACGTTATAGGACTTGTGCAAATTGGGATTCTTATAGTGCCGATCCGGAGTTGGCGTCCTAATTGAAAAGTTGGCCCCATATCATATTCTCTAATTGAAGTACTCTCGGATTGGCAATCCGTGCGGAAACGGCTTCAGAAACTTAGAAAAACGAAATTTTCACGCGACGGGGGGTAAAAAGTTGGAAAATGTGGTGATATCTCAACATCTGGCTGACTATCCAGTGTAGGGCACTTAATGAAAGTTGATTGTAGCCTATGGTTTGCATAGCTGATGTGGTAGCAAATCTTGTGTAACCTTGCTTTTGGCTGAAGAACAGGGCCCCTTTTCAATTCTCAAGTAGTGACCCCCAAGATCCTCCTAACAAAAGACACGAGTACGTATGTGCAGGCAAAGGGGTTTGGCTGTGTTCTCCAGTAAACTATTTTGTGATTCCGCTGTGCATCGTAGACTGTTTGTAGGACCCTTGCGGAATGTATTTACCAAAACTGTTGAACATTTTCCGGTTAAAGCAGTGTTCTACAGTTTGTCCATGCAGGTTAGAGCACGTGACCTGGGCTTGCTTGCAGGGTACGCAGAGTGAGAGGGTTGGGGTTAGAGATTTCCCAGATCACTTATTAAATTCAGCCAAACTGTCTCTGTCATGGAACATTTAAAATGGTGGAAAGTAGTATTGCATTTATTGATTTAGAGTACATTGGAAAAGCGCACATTCAGAAAAGGGTTTTGGTGTAAAGTTATCAACGACATTCAACAGTACTAAAGGACTTCCGCAAGCATGTCACGGACTTGGTTCTGTCCAAAAGTCGTACGGCACTCAGGGTACCTGGCGCAGCGGAGACGGAAACGATGCTGACCGCCAATGCTATGAAAAGCTGAGCCTCCACAGTTGGGACATTGAAGCTGATCACGATGCTGATGGAAGAGTTCACGGATATTGCCAATGGGAGCAGCATCAGGCACTTCCCCATCCCCATGACCCCACCAAGCACGAGCAGGATCAATGACGGGTGCAATGCCTTTGAACCATCCGGGATTGAAACCAAAAGAAGTTGAGAACATCTCGGAAGCGCTGACAGTCTGTCACAGTAGTCTGTCTATTGCGATCTCCTCTGAATAGAACTCTGGTGGCAGCGTCCATGATGCCATTGATGAGACTGTAGTACTCTTCCACCGGCACAAGCTTCAAGGAGTTTGCGCCCATGTGCTGGAAAATGGTCTCGATCTGGTCCAAATGGAGATTCAAAACCATCTGTTCCGCTGATTCCAACCTGGCGCACTGAACTCGCACTTCAACTCGCATGCCAGTAATGTGGAGCGGGTGACTGTTGAGCCATTGACGTAAACCTCTCAGTGTCTCACTGCGATCACCAAGGCTGGACTTGGTTTGGGGCATTCGCGAAGACAAAGTCGAAGAGTAGGCTTTGAGCGCATGAACAAGCTTTGGGTAGCAAGTAACCCGAACATTGGCGTGACCCGCAATGTCAAAGCGGGTGGACCCAAATCCCTCACCAAGGATGGTGAGCATGGGAAAGGTGGCGCCAACTCCACGTCCATTGTAGCGAACCAAAGGAATGACCCCATGAGTGTTCAACGTCTGACCAATGTCCCATGTGTTCAGTGCAGCATTGGGATGGTTGCTCACTTCCTGATCAAAGGAATAAGCTGGCAAAGTCCGAATGCGTTGCTTCATTCCATACTGCACAATGCGTACAGAGGGTGACACAGCACCAATGATGTCCTGGAATCCAGACATCAACAGATTTTGCCGCCCAGCAATCAATCGTGAGTGATCCGTGCTTTCCCTCACGATGATCGAATGTTCATTGTGAAGTAACTCAAGAATCCTTGCCTTTGACTCTGGATTGAATGGAATGCTAATGATACAAGGTCTGCTAGCGATCCGCATCCAACCGGCGAAAGCTTCACTGTCCTTGATATGCTGCATCACTCCAAACAGTTCAACCAAGGTGAAGGCACCAAAGAGGGTGGTCAGCTTTGTGGTAGGGAGCGTAAAGGCCATCCAGTCCACATCAAAGTAGCCAGTACTGCGAAAGACCCCAAACTGCTCATCCTGAGGGGCAGGAGAGTGATGGTGTTCCTCATCTGAAGAGCTTGAGCGAGAAGTTGGCAACTTGATATCCTCACGCCCCTCATCACTATGATGATGAAAGTTGGAGCCGTTTGAACCAGAAATGGACAACTCCACATCCAAACTGCCGATGCTGGATGAGGTCTGGGAGATTTCGACCTCAAGGCTGGTGTTCGACAAGGATGAGGTAAGGCTTGACGGCGAAAGGGTGTTGTTGGTGAATGCGGTGAAAGGCATGGTGTTGGCCCTGGTGTTGGTGATGGTATTGGTGTTGGTATTGGCGTAGGTGCTGAAACGTGGTGGTGGTGCGTGCTTTTGGAGGGAGGGAATCTGAACAGCCCTCTCCTTTTATAAAAGTCTGGCCAAAGGCAACCTGGAGCTGTTCTTCAGTTTTTTTCTGCAACCCTCCCCTTTTTTTTTCCTAACTTTTTTTTTCTTCCTTTTTTTTTTTTCACTAATCCTTTTTTTTCTCGACTTTTTTTTTTCACTAATCCTTGTTTTTTTCCTGACTTTTTTTTTCCACTAATCCTTTTTAGGGTTAGGGTTAACCCTAGGGTTAGGGTTAGGGTTAGGGTTAGGGTTAGGGTTAGGGTTAGGGTTAGGGTTAGGGTTAGGGTTAGGGGTTAGGGTTAGGGTTAGGGTTAGGGTTAGGGTAGGGTTAGGGTTAGGGTTAGGGTTAGGGTTAGGGTTAGGGTTAGGGTTAGGGTTAGGGTTAGGGTTAGGGTTAGGGTTAGGGTTAGGGTTAGGGTTAGGGTTAGGGTTAGGGTTAGGGTTAGGGTTAGGGTTAGGGTTAGGGTTAGGGTTACAGGACTGTTCCCGGTTATGGGTTATTTTTGGCCATCCAAAAAGTGTCAAACAAAGTTGCTAGCAATGTTCAGGGGCATCTTACTGTAATGTGCTTCAAATTTTGGGGCATGTTTTCCACTCAATGCCCCGGGAAAATCTGTTTTTCCGATTTTTTACTATGAAAATATTGCCAAAATGCATTTTCTGAAACTCTGAGTGGATGGATTTCGCTTAAAGTGGAATATGTCTCGGAAAACATCCCCAAAAACATCTAGGAACCTTCATCTACTCTAGTATTCATCAACTCCTGGTACTTTTTGTTTCCAGGCAATATGGGGGTGTTCTCTAGTTGGCGGCGAATGACTCATTTTGGTTTGCTCTCAATTTGCTCCATGTTTAAATCCTTTTAAGGCCCAAATACTTTCTTTTCTTCCATTGCTCCTCCTGTTGGTGGAGGATGGCAAATGCCTTTTTGCATTGCAATACATGGATATGACAGGGTGTTTGTCAACCAGCAAATCATGGAAAAAGCATGCAGTGCATGTCCATTTGCATGCCCTATGTCATCCGTTAGGGTTAGGGTTAGGGTTAGGGTTAGGGTTAGGGTTAGGGTTAGGGTTAGGGTTAGGGTTAGGGTTAGGGTTAGGGTTAGGGTTAGGGTTAGGGTTAGGGTTAGGGTTAGGGTTACAAGACCCCCTGGGTTGGGTTTTATTATTGGGTTGCCTGGAACCCTAGGGACTTAGAAATTTTCGAGTTTTTTGGCTTTTGGGTGTGTTCTACAGTTCGAATTTTTGACTCTGAGGGATGTAGTGGCGAGGGGTGTTGCGCACCT